CCACCGGCGCCCAACCCGCCCCATATGCGGCTAAATAAGAGGAGCCCATATATACCCGACGAGAAGATCTGTACCAATGTGCCGGAAGCCCACACAATGCATGCTAAGCGCCACGCCACCAGACGTCCTAGTCTGTCATTCAGATAGAGGACCACCAGAGCCCCGAGCGCAGCGCCCAGCACGTTGAAGGATGTGATATTCGCGATCCGGTTGGCTAGACCGGCGGCGTCCCCGGCCCAGTCGGATGGGACGAGATTGAAATCGGCCCTAAAGGAAGGCAGAGTGACGCTGCCGCTATAGCCACCCTCATCATAGCCTGGAAAGGTGAGCCCGAGTCCATGCGGCCACCCAACTGGACTTACCCTTGGGAATCCCGCCAGACGCAATGACCACAATGACTAGCGTATAAAAGGGATTGAAGTCCCATCGCATAGTGGAGGAGAATCCGGGGTCGGCAAAAGGTGGAAGAGGGAAAAATGGGTGCTCGGCATCCCGGCCAAACAGAGCGAGCTTCGGTCAACGTCCGAGCTTTGATATTTCCACGGGCTTTGAGCACTTTCACGTCACTACTTCACACGACATTATACAGTACATTTACTTGGATTTGTACATTCACTTTACCCTCTCTAGTAAATAGATACTATACATGGGCACCCTCTACTATGTCGTACCTACTCATATCCACTTGGTTCCGCTTGCCCGCCAATCTATATTAATTTAGAGCCCCCGGACGACTTCCGAGCCTTTTACCCTTGTCACAAGCGCAAGCTGATCAGTGGGGAAAAAGCCCTTGGGTTGCTGTGACACAGCCGAGGTGTCCAGTTGCATTGGAAAAAAACTCTGCTTGCATTGTACAGGCTTCGGACGTTGACCGGTGAAGCTGGCATGATATCTTTGAGGTGCCTTAGGGCGACTCCTTGCTGGACAGGCACTTCCGTAAGTATAACCCCTGGGCTTCTTCTTGCTCTTGTATTTCTTTGACCCCTAAAGGGCCCTTGTGCATTAGTTTTGGATCTAGGCAAGATGCTGACAGCTGCTCAGCCAACGAATATATTTCCAGGCCCTGCATCAAGATCGCTTGCTCTCTCCACCCGTATAGAGCAACGGCGATGGAATCATGCCGCGACCAGTATATCTCCAAAACAAAGGCTCCCTCCTAGGTCCTGGGACAGCCATATGCATGTCGTGGAACCAGACCGGTTTCCTGTTTCTCCAACCGCAGTATACAAGCCAAATCCGCATTCGCTGGCCGAAGCTTTGGCCTTTGAATCCGCTCTAGGCATCGAAAATGTGGTTTTTGTGCAGCCTTCGGTTTACGGAACGGACAACTCATGTCTATTAGATGCCCTACAGAAAACAGGCCCATCTCGCGGCCGAGGCGTGGTGGTTGTCGATCCTTCCACCGTCCAACGTGATACGGTGGAACTGTGGCATTCCCTGGGGGTACGCGGACTGAGAATCAACCTCAAGTCCGTAGGAAAAGTGATGGATAAGATTGAGCTGGAAGAGACATTGCTCCAACATGCCGAGATTGCCCGGCCACATAACTGGATCATCGAAGTTTATCTCCCCCTCAAGATGGTCTCAATGATCGAATCGATTCTGCCCCGGCTAGGTGTGCGGATCTGCATCGATCATTTTGGCAGCCCGGAGCTTTTGTCATGGGGTCAAGATACTTTGTCATTCAACCCCTACGCCCTTGAGGGATTTTCGTCATTGATCTCGCTCTTACGTGGTGGGAAGACATATGTCAAGGTATCAGCTCCTTATCGGCTCAGTCAAGATCATGAAATGCGCGATCTTCAGAGTATGGCGCGAGAGTTTTTGTCTGTTGCACCGGACCGGGTCGTCTATGCCACAGATTGGCCACACACTCGTTTTTCTGGTGTTGATATCAACCCATTCACCCAGTGTTGCTTGAACCTTTGTGAAACCACGCCAGGGTTAGCGGATCGGCTATTTCGCAGGAATACTGAGGAGATGCTTGGGGTAATATCCGATTGAGAGCACTGTGCCGACGGTGACCGCACGCGGCATGTTCAGCATTCAAACAGGCGTTGGTGTATTCTCTAGCATTGCTTTATATTTACTTTCATGCATCACGACTACGCTGTCAATATCTTTGCAGCCTGTTACGAATCCTTTCAATATAATCCCTTTGATGGCCTTTGGTGTATACAGTCTTTCATTCAAATCCAAGAAGCGAAACTAAGAAGCGAAATCTAAGAAGCAAAGTATGATGTACATTCTCCGATGTCTATTCAGCAGCAAATACTGACACCTAAATGCTGGGGGCGAGCAAGGTCTCATCCCACCGTCCCAAAATCCAACTATCCAACGGGTTCCTCCGTGGTCTCAGTCCTCTAAACATCCTCTGCATCCATAAAGATGGCATGCGAGGTGCAAATCTTCTTCGGGCCCTGAATAAAGTAAAAGAAAGCAGGTTAGTAAAAACGATGCACGGCTCAAATTGAACAACGACTTACAATAGTGTAGCAGCAGGCTGGACGAGACTGATCTTCACACAACTGGGGCAGCTTCAGGTTATCGCCTGGGAGATACAAGGTCATTAGCAGATGCATACCGTCAGATCATCCAAATACTTACAGTCCATTGCCTCGTTAGCCTTGGAGTTTCCTCGTGCCGGTGCCATATCACGGCAGCAGTAGGGCTCTTGAACCATGCCAGTGTGATCCTCTGCAAAGTTGCAGTGCATATTGATATTTTTGGCTGAAGCCAGAGACAGGACGGCAGCGAAGAAGAGAGCGGAAACACGCATTGTGGCGATGGTGTAATAGCTGATTGAAAATTGGCCTAGAGTTGAAGAAACTGTAACGCGTTTGGAAAATCAACTCGCGTATACCCAAGGGGGATCGTTGCAAGGGAAGATCTTGGCTGGTAATCAGATGACAGGGCTACAGGAGATTTGGAGCAACTAGATACCTTGCTCCATTGGCTGGCAAGGCTGGATCCTGTTTTCATGCCAGGTATGCTAGCTGATCATACTTGATCTGATTGGGGACTGGAAGTGTGGATGGTATCCCCTTGCATTCTTCATCCTTTGTGAATGTAGAGGATTTAGGCTGTTGCTATTTACCCTACATAGGGCCCCCTCGGATGGAAAACAGTAACTGTAGGTAACTAGGGGCAAAAACAGTCATGTAGATCGTTGCTGTTGAAGCATCGTGGCTACTACTCATATTGTGGTCTTAGACGACTTGGGATCTATCAAGGGATGACGGAGGTTAGACAGAAGAGGCTTTGTTTATAATTCTTATAGAAACCTATCGAGATAATATGGATTAAACAATATGACATGAGCGGGAGAGTGCTTATGCACGATGTTTACAGGGATGCATATTGTGGCTTCTGCAGGTTCACCTTATAACGTCTCAGAAGTTATTAGACAAGCCTACCAGATCCCCCCGCAGCTGATCGTTCCCTCTCGTAAATATGAGTTTTATACAAATATTTACAATATTCTCACTCTTTACTCTGTCGACGTTGAGTTGATGTTTTTGTTGAGGCCCCAACGCGCTTACCTCATCCGATACTGCCCACGTGTAAACACACACCGCCTCCCCCCACACTCCCTTCCCCTCTCGCTCCCTTTCTCTGTACACTCTACACTGTATACAACCTACTCGAAAATGAAGCACTCCCAGGCCGAAATGGAACGCTCTGTATACATCCCTTTGTGTTTTTGCCTGATTTCCTTTGCCGTCATCGCCTACTCCCACTAGAGCGTTGTTCTACCCCAGACGCAGATGAAGATCCCACCGGGCTCTGAAACCTGTTGTCTAGGATACCTTCAACTCTCTTCCTAACATACGGTCCATTTCACCAATACATGCGAACCAACCCCACTTCGGTCCCTGTCCTACCCCATCGAAGATATCCTCCCGTCGCAAATACGACCCGGAACAGCAGCGTAGGAGAGTGTGCAAATGCCATTTCCTCTTGGGTTTCGCGACCGATCAGATATACCTGCACTCTCCCAGACACTCGGGTGGCATCTGCGCTGGCTGCCATTTGGCCCCTTTGTTCTCTATGTCTATCTCATTATGTGAGAGACTGGAGTTAAGACACGAAGTTACAAAACTCGACATACACTGCTCGCAGTGAGAGTGTACCCAGGCATAATGGTGTTTCACTGGAGTCATATATGACCCTTGATTCCTTTGCTGCTCCTATACTTTGCCCTACATGGTTCATGTTTCCTGTTACCGATATATCCCAAGTCATTCAAATCTACAGAACAGGACATTCCCTTTGTTTGATCTTTGTTTCAACTTTATAAGCTCATGTTGCTTCGACACTCGATTTATTCCAGTCATCTGGATGTTGAGCTGCGAGTTGATTGTTTCCTATGCTTCCAACTGTGCCGTGCTGGTCACTTGTCATTCTTTCCTGGATTTCCTACTTTTCAACATAATAATACAGTCCCGGTTCGCTCATATGTTACCTGCAGTACTTGGCCTCATAATTGCTGAGCAAAGTAGGTGAACCTAGGTAGAATCGGGTGTTGGGTGCTTTAAAGCTGAACTCAATACAAATTAGTGGTAGATGGCCCGTAAGAAATGCCGAGTCACAGGCTAATAACTTAACGGGTTGCAAAATACCTTACACCGAAGATCTAACGCTGGACGGCTAACACCGATATGTACAAGTACTCGATCTAGATTTATCACGTGATATGCGCTGAGAAATCGACATCGTCACTTTATCGGATTTGTCTCTCCCCCGCTTATTTTGTACATAACAACCCTCTTCCCTCCATGCTCTCCCGCTCCCTTCGATCTCGGATCAACTTTCGAGTCGTCTCTTCATCTCTGAAGTTCTCTGGGAACTTTCCTTCTTTGACTGTGAACCGAACTCTGGCGTCCATCAACTCTCCCCGTATTCCCTCCGCGGACTCAATTCCCCCCCAGTCTCGCTTGTCTACCATCTCTCGACACTTTTCTTCATCTTCCACCCGAGACAGTCAGCAATCATCCACCATGGCCCCCGTGGAAACACAGCAGTATGATTACATTGTCCTTGGCGGTGGTAGCGGTGGCAGTGGAAGCGCTCGCCGTGCAGCCGGTTGGTATGGTAAAAAGACCTTGATTGTGGAAAGTGGACGGTCAGGAGGTACCTGTGTCAACGTTGGGTGAGTTCTACAGACAAGATACTATTTTCATGCGGTGAATTGACATCATTTCTCTGTCTAGTTGTGTGCCTAAGAAAATGACCTGGAACTTCGCAACCATTAACGAGATGCTGCATGTTGGCAAGAGCTATGGCTATGACATTCCTGATAACATCGCTATGGACTACACCCACTTCAAGAACACCCGTGACGCCGTTATTAAGCGGCTCAATGGCGCATACGAGCGCAACTGGAACCGGGAAGGAATTGATCTCGTGCAGGGTCGTGCAGGCTTCGTTGAGCCTCAAACCATTGAGGTCAAGCTAGCCGACGGCTCCGGTTCTGCCCGCTACACTGCGCCGCACATCCTCTTGGCCACCGGCGGCCGGCCCAACATCCCCTCCGTGCCCGGTGCCGAGCACGGTATCACTAGCGACGGATTCTTTGAGATGGAGGATCTTCCCCCGAAGGTTGCAGTCGTGGGTGCTGGCTACATTGCTGTCGAGCTTGCTGGCGTCATGAACGCTGTCAATGTCGAGACCCACATGTTCATTCGCGGGGAAACCTTCCTCCGCAAGTTTGACCCTATGATCCAGAAGACCATGACCGATCGGTATGAGGCTTCCGGTGTCAAGCTTCACCGTAACCACTCCGGATTCAAGGAAGTGCAACTCATCCGTGACGGCAAAGGCAAGGATAAATTGCTCAAGCTCATTGGCCATGACGGCTCTGAGCTTGAGGTGAACGAGCTGCTCTGGGCCGTGGGTCGTGCCCCCGAGGTCGAGGACCTGAACCTCAATATCCCCGGAGTCAAGCTGAATGCCGGCGGTCACGTTGTGGTTGACGAGTACCAGAACACCTCGGTCGAAGGTGTCTATGCTCTTGGTGACGTGACAGGTCAAGCCGAGCTGACCCCAGGTACGTGATACAAAATTGTTTTGTAGTCCTCAAGTCCACATGCTAATCCTATACAGTCGCCATCGCCGCCGGTCGTCAACTCGGCAGCCGTCTGTTCGGTCCCCCGGAGCTCAAGTCATCCAAGCTTTCATACGAGAACATCCCTACGGTCGTCTTCTCCCACCCCGAAGTCGGCTGTGTTGGTCTCACGGAGCCCGAGGCCCGCGAGCGCTACGGTGATGACAAGATCAAGATCTACCACACCAAGTTCACGGCCATGTTCTACGACGTCATGCCCGCCGAGGAGAAGGCTAAGAATCCGACTGAGATGAAGATAATCTGCGCCGGTCCCCAGGAGAAGGTTGTCGGTCTCCACATCTTGGGCCTCGGTGTCGGTGAGATGCTTCAGGGCTTCGGTGTCGCTGTCAAGATGGGCGCCACAAAGCAGGACTTTGATAGCTGTGTTGCTATCCACCCTACTAGCGCCGAGGAGCTGGTGACGATGCGGTGATTTTATTGAGATAGAGAGTATATGCAAATAATCTAGACGATTTTATAGTAAGAGCTAAGTAGAGAACGAATGCATCAGGGTAGTGCATAACCTTATATCATGTGGGGCTCATACTTCAATGTGATAGTTGTATATGTACGGAGCACGGAGTATATAGGTATACCTAAGACTGAATAAATCATATCTAGGTACCCTGTGGAGCTTAAAGTTACTCCATTGCAGCTCCAGAGCCTCATCTGCATAGTCAGCATCTTCACCTGTTCATCTCCATCTTCTCCAACTGCACCACATCTGCACCACATCTCCACATGGAGAAACCCCACATAGTTTGGGGTATTGAATTGTCCCTCTGGAACCTGTTCAATTGTTCAATCGACAATTATCAATTGCAGATTACCATATAATAAAATGGCGAACCTTCACAGTGCTCCCCCCTTCCGCGCCGAGCATATGGGCTCACTGTTGCGTCCTGATAACCTGCTCGAGGTGCGCGAGAAAATCGCCACTACGGGTATCTCCGGGGAGGCCGCCGGTTTGCCCGCCGTTGAGCAGGAAGCTATTCGCGATGTCGTCAAGATGCAACAAGACCTTGGCTTCAAGGCTGTGACTTCTGGAGAGTTCAACCGTACGCGGTTCTGGGGATTGATGTGGGACGAGTTTGAGGGTAGGTTACCTTCTGTTTGATTGTCAATGGCTCCGCTAACTCTCGCAGGGACAATTCGTCTGCAAGACGCTGAAGCCTCGATGTTCAGACTTTACCACCCCGATGTAGTGAGCCTGATCGAGCAAGACCGCAAAGTGATGCCAGGCGACTCCGTCATCGCCGGCAAAAAGCTCTCCCACAGCGCCACTTCGTCTCAATCGAACCTGCACGAGCTCAAGCTGGTGCAAAAGTCCCTGCCTGAAAGCGAATGGGCGAACATCAAGCTGACGATGATCACGCCTGCCTGGTTCCACATGCGCTACAAACAAGGCCGGGCCTACACGCCCGAAGCATATGCCAACGATGCCGAATACTTCGCCGACGTGGCGAAGGTGTACCAGGCCGAGTTGGCGTCTTTGTACAAGGCGGGTCTGCGCAACGTGCAGTTCGATGACCCCGGCATGGCGTACTTCTGCTCCAATGCGTTCCGTCAGGGATGGGAAGAGGACAAGGACAATACCGGCTCTGTGGAGGACCTGCTCGATGCTTACATCAAACTGTACAATGATTCCCTTGCTGGCCTGCCAGCGGATATGCACACTGGCATCCATCTTTGCCGTGGAAACTTCATTGGCGGCCGGCACTTCTCCGAGGGATCGTATGATATCATCGCGAAGAAATTGTTCGAGAACTTGAACGTCAACACATTCTATCTCGAGTACGACACTGAGCGGGCTGGTGGATTTGAGCCGCTGAAATTTTTGCCGAAGAACAAGAACGTGGTCATCGGTGCTATCAGTACTAAGCTGCGGGATCTTGAGGACAAGGAGGTTATGAAGGAACGCATCTTCAAGGCGGCAGACTTTGTGGCTTCTGGCTCTAGAGAGACACGCGAGGAGGCACTAAAGAGAGTCTGTATTAGTCCACAGTGTGGCTTCAGTACTCACGAGAGCGGATATCCTCTCCTCGTTGAGCACCAGAAGAACAAGCTGAGCCTTGTTAGGCAGATCGCCGATGAGATCTGGGGCGAAGCGTGAGTTAATAAAGAAGGTCGTTTCATTTTCAACAGCGATGGGACTGGGTGTGACGCGGTGGACCTTACGAATTCAACATGACTTTTGGCGATATGTATATGAGAAGCCTACGATTCTAATGAAATACTTCCATGCATGATTTCAGAACACGTAGTCCGGGCGCATTGTCGAAGATCACAGTTCAAATGCTTGTATTCAGAGATATCGTGGAACATGTAAGAGTTAAATATGTTTGTCCCTTGCGCCCATAGTACAGGGACGCAGGTGTCGAAACCGAGTTCACTTCAAAAATCTTTGTTCTCAGATGCAGAATGAGCAACAAGGAGAAAATTACACGTACATGGCCGGTTGCGATAGTGCAGTCGCGCCCCTGCAGATGCCAGTGACCAGACTCGTCGGTAGAAGAGGCATTCAAGTCGTTGGAGACGGCGCCTGCGCCGTAAAGTGTGCCCCTCGGAGAAAGTAGGAGGGAAATGCAAGATTGGAAATCGGACCATGGCCAAGTTTAGTCCGTCTGAGGGATAATGTTGGGGTCATTCTCGGAGCCCGTGCCGACCTTGTCCAGCGCAACGGCATGAAGTGCTGGCTTCTCGGTGACACGGAGCAAGCCGTCTTCCCGGAGCTTGATTTGTTTGTTCACCCACTCAGCAGCTTCCTTGTCCTCTGTCATAGCAGATGAACCGTTTTCACTGGAGCCGGAGTCATCATGTACGTCGGAGGGGGCGTGTTCATCAGCCGACTCGGTGGGTGGCTGCATCAAAGGTGCTAGCCAGGGGTGGCGAAGCAGCATGTTGTAGGACGGTCGGCTGTTGGGGTTCTTGTCGAGACAGGCCCGGACGAATGCGTGGGCTTCCTCGGAGTAACCCTCGGCAGGCAAAGTTGGGGGATCACCATGGACGATAGCCTGGGTGGCAGATTAGAAAGATGAGCAGCAAGATTGCAGGCAGAATACTCACGTGTAATTGGCTGAAGATGTTATTGAATGTCTCTGGTGGGTATGGATATCGGCCCATGGCGCATTCGATGATGGACAATCCCAAACTCCAAATGTCGCTCTGCACACTGTATGTACCAGCACTGGGCGCTCCGGATTGCTGCATGCCGCCTCCTGCAATTCGTTCGGGGGCCATGTAGCTCTGACATCCGATGTTGGTTTTCGCAATGCTAGAGACTAAGTTTCCGCTGACACCGAAATCGCAGATCTTGATCTGGCCCTTGCTGTTGACCAAGATGTTGGTCGGTTTCACGTCGCGGTGTATGATGTTATGGTCATCCTTCAACGACTTCAATCCCATGATGGTAGACAGGGCGACCTTGCGCAAGATGTTCTCGGGAACACCACCCTCGTAGAGCTTGTCGATCGAACCACCATCCATGAATTCGACACACATGTAGACCGCACCTTCTTGGAAGAAGGCCCCGTAGAAATCAATGATAAAGGGAGAGATACAACGGTGTAGAATGTCCAACTCCATGATGATTTGTGCAAACTTCGCTTCGTCCAGTTCCAAACGAATCTCCTTCATCGCCATGATCACACCGGAATATTGAGTAGATCCAGCTTCCGAATTAGTGTCGTCCTGATCCTGCGGTCGACTGACAATGCCACTCAAACCGAGCCCCGGTTTTCGTAGATGTGGCCGACTGTGTCGGACCTTGTATACTGTCCCATAATTGCCCTTGCCTAGCTCTTCCAAGCGATCGACCTCGTCCAGAGAGATCTTGAAGCTGTGACCCGATGAGAATTCAACACCACCCCCATGTAAGACAGCCTTATTCTTGAAATTCAGAGTTCCTGCTTTCGTGTCGATAAACTCGGCGTACTTGGTGAAGGCAGATTCCTCGGTTTGCTCGTTGGACTTTTGTTCGGTCCCCGCGGCCGGAGTTGGCGGGCCAGTGACATCCGACAATTTGAGACCGGGCTTCATGCGCTTTGCCGCCAGTCCGCCTGGTCGGGGAGACGCGGAACCAGGGGAAGACGCTGGCACCGATGGCGAAGAGGTCCAGTTCTGAGGATTGGGCCGTGAGTTCGGAGGAAGACGACCGGCCAGGGCGCCGCCTGTGCCCGTTTGGGCCTTAGGGATTGTCCCCGTCGACGCAGCATGCGGCAATGGAGCACCCTGCCGGGACAATGAAAACGCTTTCATTTTTGCCATGATATCCTGGTTCAATCCACCGGTCGCTTTCCCGCTCATCGATGGCTGGGGATGTGGCGAGGAGCCAGCTCCCCGCCGTGCAGCGTTGATCTGACCCAAGTGTGTTGAGGAGGCTGATAAACCTGGTGCTGTCGGTTCGCAAGGGATGGGATTTGAGGTCTCGGAGGAGGCGGAGGCCTGGGAGGGAGAAGACTGAGGCGAGGTATGGGAAATGCCGTCAGGCGCGACAGACCCCTCGGCGAAATCCCGTGCATCAGCCATGTTGGAGGCCGACACCGTGTGGAGAGACTAAGCAGAGTAGAGGAGAGGAAGTGAGAGTGATAAGTGAAAGAGAGAGAGAGAGAGGTGGAAACGTCGGAATGCAAAAAGGAGGGGCATGAAGTCACTCCGCGATAACGTGGGGAACTTCTCTTTGCCGACTTCACTCTGTATTTGTCCAGTAGAAGTTAGATGTCTGCTTGACTTGGGATTTTCTCTTCTTTCTTCCTTTCTTTCTTTTCTACTGAACATTTGTTTATTCTTTACACACCATCGGCCTGTCACACCAGCCAATCACGGTACACTGTCCAAAGCAGGTTTTACCTATGAACTCATTCCACATACTTGTTCTTATATTGATGCCTAGCTTAATATTTGAGATCTCCGAATCTCTTATTCAGCTCCAATAGACTACTTAGGCCATGCTGTAGCACCGTCATACTTCACCATTTCCCTGAACTCACTCGCATATTTATTAGTCGAATTGTAGAAACCTTACACTATGTATTATTTTACAGCGTGCTTCCGTGCATTACAATACTTGATGTATCCATTCGTCCTCCGCTCCTTAGCAGAACTACGCTTGTCAGGCTCCCACTGCAGCATTTTACGCAGACGCAAAAAGCCTGTCTCTCGTCTTCTCTCTGGAGACATGTTTCTCGCTCCTCAAGTTCCCAGCGTAAGATACTTAGAAGTATAGAGTTAGTCTTAGACATGGGTTTGACCAATGATAGGGAAAAGCCTTGACTTACCTTCAGAGAAGGATTTGTCAGTTAGTCTCCCCAGGTAAGAAGGCTGTATAGCGGGGAGGAAGACGGCAAGGTAAGCTCGAGTTCTGTACTTGTCAAATCCAGGATCTTAGCCAGCGAACAAGGAACCGCCTTCGTAGATATCCCAAATCTATAACGTTTAGCTGCTTTTGGAAGGCGAGGGCTTTTGCCTTACCATACAACCCTGTTCCAGATATTAATGCTATACGTCTAAGGAACTCCTAGAATCACTCCTAGTGTTCGGTAGATATTACACGAACCCTATGAGGTAGGCGTCGAGCACGGCTAATCCGATATCGCATAGGTCTAGACAACTGCGGCGACAACGCAATTCTCGTGACTCATTCGGCTCGCGACACCATGAGCTGCAGACTGCGCTTTAGGCCGCAGACAGATTGAATGGCGTCCGCCAGATTTTGTGAACTTAGAGACGATACGGAATAGGCCGAGGTCCAAGCCCATAGGACGCGACATGTTACCCTAGAAGAGTTGACTAATACATTATAGTGCTAGGATTAGAGAGAGCATACTTTCTAAAAAACAGGATAATAGTCGTAGTTCTTCTAAAACATAGGCCCCGTTCCCGACCCTAGGTCCAAACTTTAAACCTAAACCCGCCAAGAAATAGGTACAGGTCGGGTAAAGCAGGTCTACCCACTGGTAAGGGCGAGGCCTAAATCGATGCTGGTTTCAGTGACGGATAAAGCTGTGTTGGGGGTGGTGATTTCTAAAGTAGCTAGCATCTCGAATGCATATACGTATTTCCGTGAGAAAATTCAAGACAGTGAATGTCGTGAAAATATCTACTTGACCTTTATAAGCAAGAAAAAGTAAATATAATTAACAAACTTCAAAAATGAAAACATACAACAGTAAGGATTCGCTAGTGGTCACCCACCTAACTAGTAACTTACCGGCGTGTGGCTTAAGTACGGCTGAGCGGACGGGAAGCCCTGTTCTCCACACCCTGTGGTCGTATGTACTGGAAAATACATTTGAAGGAATCTATATAGGACTTCAATTCTATATGTGTACATATAGATAGTGGCGCGTGGCTTATGCGCGACCAGTACCTGTCCAGGTGGCTATACCGACGGCGGATTAATTGTTCCTAGTATCCGGTATTTTTGTTCTGTATCCTGCATTGGATTTTACATGGCTTATTGTCGAGATCCCGTGACCCTCGTAGACCTGATAAATCGTTTCTTTCTCCCCTCCCTCTTCCCTTTCTGCTCTGCCCCTTTCACTCAATAGCATCGAATATATCCCGTTAATGCAGCAACCTTTTGTGCCTTTCCATGATTGATTGAATTCCAGCGTCCACGCCCATATTCACCGATCTGAGGCAATGTAAATTCTGTTCCTCCGCATTCCCCAAATCGAATAAAGATCTTCGTTCATGGCAGGTTCATCCGGGAGCAGATCATACGCCAACGTCTAATGACTCAGAAGTCGTTGTCTGGACCGAGCTTCAAGTTCCCACTGGCGAGGAGCTCGATACCAACCGATGGGATGGACATTTTCAGCCGCTAGTTCATGCTCTAGGCCATAGTGGGTCTGGTGGGCAAGAGTCCAGGGACGTCCACACATAATTATTCTAGCAACATGTGAGTCGTAGATCCATACTAAGCACTAGCCGACTAATGCGTATTACGAAGTATGGTACACTACCTCGGAATTGAGGGAATTTGTTGCCTCGCCCTCCACCCAAATATACCAGGAGAATCTCGAGAGTAGAGCAATAATGCATATATCCTCTCGTGAAACAATTTACCGCGGCCTGATGAACTGGTTCCCCTCTCTACAGAGATCATACGTTTAACTGTTCTGGGTCTACTTTTCGACGCCAGTGACCGACGCTCAGCAATCCCAAATTGCGAAGCTGAGCGGTATCCGCCTATACCTTATGGGGTCTGGAAGCCCAGTTCACAAGTTGCTTCAACGCCATGTTCCTGCGAAGTTATGGACCACTCAAACAGAATATTTGCATAGCCAAGAAACTCAGTTGATGCTATGGCCGCATTTCTGGGAGGATGCAGAGAAGGCCAAGTTTAGGTATAGAACGATCTCATTTAGACCGTACACTGTTGAAGGGGAAACTAAAATGGAAGATTTCAGTGCTAAACTGGAAGAAGTAGGCCCGCTGGACTGGAAGGAAGACATTTGTGATTTTAAGTCATTGCATCGTGTGTAGATACAATGATTATTATTGGGTTGGAGATATCGAATTCAACCGCCATGTCCTCTAACTGTTCGCTGTCGATCCCCTGGAGGATCCTATTCTTTGCGTTTCCTATTATCTCTTCTTATATTGAGACTAACTCGGCTACCCCGTTATGGAAGCTCCATCGGTTGTTTGCCTCGTTGTTCCATGTGGACTGCTGGAAAAACCAATAACCAATACTGAAGAAGACGTAGTTTTCTGGGTTGCGCCGGATGAGCTGCTCCAAGTTTCATCGAAGACTTTTAGGTTTCTTTGTGTTGGATGGCGGCTCAAGCAATCTTTGCTGCTCTTTCCAACTGTCTGCAAGCAGTTAGAGACAACGCACATGGAGTTAGATACTGGATTTCTTCAACTTACACGTGACATCAGGGGTATTCGAGTTCGAGAGCGTGAGATGGAATAGCTCATGATAGAGAGTTGCACTTCGCGGAAGAATATCCTCGAGTAACGTGCCTCGTTCGGGTATTTTGGATCCAAGGTGATCGACGTATTTGGTGGTTGTGAAGCTATTTGGGTACAACGTGACCGTGGTGGGGATAGTTTGATCTTGTGTAACTGCCATGTTTTCGTTGGGGAAGGTACAGTAAGTCTTGCCGCTGTAGGCATCATCAAAGAAGTACTCATCCAAGTCATCGGACCAGTAGGGAATAGCCGTGTTCCTCACCCAGATTCCATTCCGGAGCTTCCAGAGGAAATCCTGGAACTCTTCAACTCGCTCGATTGCAGGAGGAACCCAAATTCCATCCGGACTCTCTTTCATCACGTTCTCCTGTTTTGCTGAGCCCTAGGCCGCTTCCGACTTTTCTAGCTTAATGAGCCATGTATCATCGCAGTATAAACGTGATGTGCCACCCACGTCCCCTCCATCCAGGAACTCCTCCACACGCTTTAGAGTCTCTGAAAGATTGTTAGTAATATAATCTGGAAAGTTGCGTAAGTACCGAGAACCTCACTTTCCACAATCTGTACTGCCTCAGTATCCTCTATCTTCATGCTGAAGTAAGTCTGGAGATACCATCTGGCGACGGTATACACCGCAGACGAGGGATTCCTGGCATCAAGGAATACCTGTAGACTTGATTTGAGCATAGCTCTGGTTTCAGATAGCCATATTTCAGGAGATTCCGAGAGATATCTGGCACAGCCACGTATTCTGTCTATATGTTGTCCGCTCACATCTGTTTAGAACTTGAATAAAGCCTCGAGGTTTGGATCGGAGGCAAACCCAGGAATAAAAAATAGCCAAAACAAGACAATAGATCTGATATGCATGGCTCAACCATTTACCCAACATGTAAAAGCACAGGAAAACGTGGACAAAAACCGATAGATAAAGTGCGGATGGTTTTGTTATATATATGCATTTAAGACACCAGTTTCGGACTTCATCGATATAGTACTCCCCGCCGGCTTCTCTTGGTAGTGTATAGTGAACCGGTTAAAAAAATACCATGGTTACCCTTATGGATCTTAAACTGAAACATGAAGTTCGGAACTCTTGCGACAGACCCGAATCTCGAAATACAGGGCTCCGGTTGGTCGATGCTAATTTATCGAGGCCCTATGTCAAAAGAGAAGGAGAGAGAAAAAAAGCCCTTGAGGTTACAATCTTGCTAGCTATGAGTCCGGCGGGAGGAATCCCTGAGATGCTAGACTGCTAGGGTCTCTTGGCCAAGGAACTAGTATTTAGCGGTAATGCGGGATATAGTTTTGATTGTAGTGTTCAAAACCAATCAAATTCCCCATCAGAAATCAACCGTCCTTCAACATTCATGTTAGCGGCGGAGATGTTTCATATGGCTGTGCTTGGAGCCTAAGCTTGCTCTAACATTCGACTAGTAGATCTTGGCAATCGCTTAAGAGTCCGGAAATTGGGGGGGACTCCACAAGCCTGTGAGCTTGCTTGTATCTATGCAATTTCCAGTACAGCAGTGGCAACCACGGGGGAAAAAAAAGAAGAAAAAAAAAGGGTCACCATCCGTAGTGGCCGCCACCTAAGACTATACCATGTACGTGGTGATGGTCTTGTAGAATACCAGTTGTGCTTCATGTAGCTTCCTTGCGTTGAGGGCAGAGAGACTTGGAGGTAAGAAACTTCCGTGATGATGGGAGAGAGATACGGTGACGGCGCTAGCCCGTATCAGTTGCATGATCAATACTTTTCGGGTTATCTACATGTAATCAATACCTACAATGAGCATTCAAACAGTCACGCTCTATGATTTCCATGAGTGAAAACAATGTTGAGAGCAAAATTTAGACTAGTAATCGCCAGCATATATCCGCTGCCCACAACAATAGTTTGACATTCAGGTACTGATTTGAAGTAGTGAAAAGCATCGCTAGAGCCATATCCTTTTGTTTCCTAGGTCAATCAGCCGGGACCTTACCCAATTATCTCCTTTAAAATTCTGCCATTTTGCCTCTCTTCCCTAAACCAACATATCCTAAACACTTGCGCTCCAGTCTGCGACGGCGTCGTCGCCAACCTTCTCCTTGATGATTCGTTGGCTTAAATCCCAAAGGGCGGCTCCCAGAACGGGATCAGAAGCTTGAACAGATTCCTTGCCCTTTTGACCAGGGTCCGTCAGGTAGTATCCATTCCATCCTTTATTTTCAATATCTGGGCTCGTTGCGGCATACAACGCGCTGAATGAGCCTTGTTCAACATCACGCCCCACCGCAAGCATAGCTGTTGTGATAAGCTTTCCCGTCAAACCTGGGTAGGCCTCCTTCCATTGCTGCTGCATGGCGGTATTGACCTAGTCTAGTTGTTAGTCATGGCGCAAGTTCATCTTCATATCTTAACGAACTTACAGCACCTGGATGCACAGAGAGCGCGTAAATGTTGTCCTTGTTTGGTTTAATAACGCGCTCTACGAGACCGTACTTTACTCCTAGGATGATTGCAAGTTTGGACCTGCCGTAAAGCTCAGTAGGACTCAGTTTGTCGTTATTAATTTCATCAAGTGAAGCAAAGTGAACTTCTTTCGGTGCGGCGCGATGCTGCTCTGATGATTCGAATACAATTCGGGGGGCAGGTGTGTCGGGGAACTTGGACGTTTTGTGCAACAGTGGGTAAAGCAGGTTGCAGACATAAAATTGGCCCAGCCAGTTTACTTGGAAATGGCGGTCGATTCGGTCATTCGTCTCGCCGTACTGGTTCGCATTGATACCAGCGGATAGCACCAGCTATATATATAAGTTAACCGGCGGCAATAAAATGTAGGTGGATTTTCCTACCAAATCAAGTCGCTTTTCCTCAGACCGTAGCTTTGCGAAAGTGTCCTTTGTCTGCTTCAAATCTCCCATGTCGCATGGAATCCATTCAATATTTGCATCATCGCCGACTTCTTTTTTAATTGCCTTGATTGCTTCATCACCTTGGTCCTCCTTTCGATTAACCATGATCACACGAGCGCCATTCAACACAAATGCCCGAGATATTTCGTAGCTGCCTGCCTGTTAGCAAAGCACGAAGCCACCTCTTTCGGCCTCTCGTTGTTTCCCACTCACCCAATACCCAATGCGCCACCTAATACAATAGCAACACGGCCCGTGAGGTCACGGGTCTCTTTTCTAGGGCCAATAACCGGCTTAAGCGCTGATTGCATGATGCTAAGCGTCCGTATTGGGGGTAGAGTGGATTAGATGGAGAAATGTCAAGACGAGGATATCACTTTAGCAATAAATATTGATTGCGCCGTTGATATTATGAGCGTTATGACGGTGAATCTACATCATGTGCTTGTAAATGACGCCCCGGAAGGTTGATTTACAAATGAAGTGATGATGATGCCTTGTCCAGCGCTGACAGGTTTGTCGCCGACACTCGGCTAGCAATAATGAAAGATACCTTAAAACCCTTCTTGCAATAAATTACACCCAATACTTGAACTTTGTACCCTTTTTCACTTGAACAGCCCTTTATATGCTTGCCCACAGGAGCAAAGTTGGTTTCATGACACCTAGGTGCAATTTCATTCTCGCATTCCTAGATAGCCCGTGCCTTTTATGACTTCACATGTCGAGCTTAGTTCTAGACCAATATCTTGAATAACCAGTCATCACGTTATGTGGTTGCCACCGGCTTTAAATTACGCAATTCATACGTCAGGAAGGTTATAAACAAGTAGCGCGAGCAAGCGTTGAATATGTAGTGACTAATCTGAACAATAGGTCCGAGATTGCTTCTAGCAATATATTCCGGACTCCTATCCTCACCTTTTAAGGCAACATGTAACATTAATTTGAAAACTTTTGTTCAGAACTTACCTATATTAACTAACTAAATCAAAAGTGTCGAACCGTGCCGAAAGAATTGCGGAAGATGATTATAAGGAAACAATGATTCTTCCCCTATAACCAGAACTTTTATAGATAGCTTGTATGCTAAAGAGACTCACTTAAGCTTAAAAGATTTGGTCCCCGTACAGGGAGAGATAAGAGATTTAAAGATCCAATTCAACCTCTATATTCTAATTCTAATTAATAGCTTAATAAGTCTAGGTTATTCTTCTTAATTAATACTATAGTAATTAGGCTATTAACAAAATACAGGAGGAGGAAAACGAGGCATTATTAGAAAAATAAATTATTTACGCCTTTTCTTAAATCGGATTAGCGTGGCTTCGGGCACGTTCCGAGAAACAAAGCGTGGGATTCAGAGGGTTAAACTGTTATGTCTTTCTCGAGTAAAGTAAAAGCCGGTTTCGGGGTTTTTCATACATAGCTTTCTTGAAACTGATAAAAATCGATGCCAAGACTCACAGCCTTCACGTCCTTCCATCCTTTCGTGGGTTCTTGGCGGGCATCTATTCACTACAAGTATCTAGAGCGAATCGGTTCGCGTGCGAGAAAGGTCACTGGCTGCTCGCTAATTTAAACGCTATTTCTGCTGTACCAGTCATCTACTATGAATTTGGGCTTCGTTTCCCCTGAGAACAATCTCCGCATTGTCTACGTAGTTCAAGTCTGTATATGACGGGATAATTCGACCCCTTACATAGCTCTTGTTGATCAATGCGAACTTGCCGGAGCTAAATGTCTGGTTGAAATAGTTGAAGTACTCCGCGGCATCATACCGTGTTCAATCGAAATTCACAATACGCAGAAGGCCTTAATAAACGAGAATCCTTATGTGACAATTTCTTCCGGTGATAGCTCAACAACCGCGCTGGACACAACATGTAAGGTCAAATACTGTCAATGAATAAACACATACTTCATAACGGACGGACGCAACTGAATTACGGTTGCGAACAAAGCCCCATCGACAAAATCATTGAAAGGAATAAACTGTGTACTATATGGCTGGCATTTTTGCACCACGGCATGTTCCGATACTGTTGCTCAAAGTCAGAACACTCAAGTTTTCCCACCAGTCTTGCGTTTCTTCGGCAGCCTTTTCATACGAAACTCTTGGGCATAAACTTTGAAGAAGTCGTCTGGCTCTTGGGGGTGCGACTTAGTGATATCGTGGAAAGCCGTAGTCGAGATGTAGTTCGCTTTTCCTTCACGGACTAGAGAATAATACTCCAGTAAGTACTGCTGCTCCGAATTATCACTGGCTGACTGGGACCGAAGGACTCTCTTCGCTTCTGACCTGACAGTTGCAACTATCGTTAGCCCACGCTTTGTATGTATGGATTGGCAAAAGAAAGGTTTGATTTCACGCACTCCGAAATATCTTCAAATCTCAACTCCTGTCCTAATGCTTTGCTGGCAGCAGAAGCAAGTTCATCACCAGTCGCCAGCATTGGCCCTGGGTGGTATTAGCGCCGATACACAGTTTTCACGGGCCAGGCTACTTCACCTGTCAACACGATTAATTGGCCACGGTGTTGATCGCTAAATCCATGTTTCCCCTTTCCACAGAGGACGTGTGCCGCAACCTGGGCGACGTCCTATTGACTTTGTCAGTAAATGTTCATTTGGGAATGATGATTACTTACCCCTAATGCAATTGGCGCAAACTTATGGTTAGATCCAAGCGGAATGGGAAGTACTCCTTCTTCTTGCGCCTGCTGGGAATACAGAAGGAGGTTCTCGGCGTAAAATCCGGCACTGGGCTCCCAAATTAGCAAAGTTCAACTTCCCTGAACAATACCATCCTACCGAATCACAACTGGAGAGTGGCCGGTCGACGTGGATGGTTTGCCCTTGCTGGACAAAACACGTGTCTCCAGGTCGATGAATTCTCGCAGTCTTGGTTGCTTATTACGTTCCGCAAGATCGCAGCCAGCGGAGCTGATGAAGCAAACGTTAGGTACGTTTGCCTTTTCCGCAGCATCGATCAGTTCCAAAGTCAGGTCAAGCTTATCCTCGCGTGCAGGAGGGATGAGACACAATGTATCTGCGCCGGTCGCTTTAAGGGAGTCCACCATCTTTCTCAGTCGACCCGGCTCGTGTGCGACAATCTTAGCCCCGAGCTTGGATAGCTCTTTGCAAGTTTCTCCGTGGGGCTGAAGAGACAGCCCAGTGACCGAGTCAACGGCATTTCTGAAGTTCTCATTTGTCAATAGAAGCTCCATGATAGCGTAGCCGGTGTGGCCATCCGCGGCAGTAACACAGACGTGACGTGACATAGTTGAAAGCTTGAAGATTCTGAGGTACAAGTTTGCAGTTTTTGAATGCTACTACTACCAGCTACTGTGGACATTGTGGGCTTCTTTTATATCTATCTAACGTGCAATACTAGATGACGACAATGCGCGTCAGTGGCCTTGTATATACCCAGCCGTCATTTTGGAACCGAATGGCAATCGAAGGCAGGCTTCTGAAAAATTTTGACATTTAAATGTGAATGGCTGGCTTGCAGACCCTGTGTTCCTTGATCATATGTTCATTGGCTCGACTTCGTAACCGAACATATCATGTCACTCTGATTACTTTCGCCACGCTGCTAAATGAGTAGGATCACGGAAAACGAAGAGCATTTGGAGGACAGAAAAGCTGCAAATGATAAAAATCCGGCCTGCAAATGTGCTCTAAAGGGTAGGAGAGAGAATGGAGGAGCAAAGCAGAAAGTGCGGGCCACTGCACGTACTGCTCCCCTCCGAGGCGCCAACCAAAGAAACAAAGAAAGTACAGAGAAAGTGGACTTCCTGGGGTAACCGTTAAGGTTACCGCATGGATCAGCGATTGATGGCCTAATATGCTACATGATGACACCGTCAGGGAACGAGGACTATAGAGCATTGCAGGTACTGCGGACGACATCGGCAGTATAAAAGATGATTCTGACCCTTCCTTATTGCGTAGGGATGAACATGGCTGAATACAGGCATGGAGGTGCTGAATAGTCTTTGGGCGGCAGTAATTCGGTCATAATAGTAGGTAAATGCGTCACTAGCTCTTAATGGTCTCTTAGGCTCACGATAATTCTAACGTAAAGATACAAACATCTTCGCTAAAACCATGCAAGCAAATCGCTCTTGAAGTCTAGATCATACCTATTTGCATGATGAATTAGAAGAAAGGTGATGGTAAGGATCATAATGACGGAGTTGAAATTGCGGCAAGACCTTGCTCCCTTCCGTCCACACTTTCTGATACAGCAAATCCGGTATATGACAAGTGAGCGATATGACAGCTGCCAGCGTGATGCAGTTGTGATTCAGACCAGGAATAAGAGCCAAATGTATCTGGATTGGTTTATAGGTGCCGTCCCGCTTCTTACTCGGCAGGACCCGCCTGTGATAAACCACTTGAGTCATTTGTCTGAAGGAAGAGGTGTTTTAAATTGTTGGATTTTGATTTTCCGTGGAGGGATAAGCTGTTTAACGTGTAATCACTACGCATGTAGTTTAAGTCAACTTGTGATGCGGGCGGTTGTGTGCTCAAAAAACATCGATTCAATCCGATATTTGGATCTTTACAGCGCTTTGAGCACAAAGTGCCGTTAGAGCTATTTTTGAAAGCGAGCCAACGGTATACGTCTTCTGGATCACGCTAAGTCATTATCCACAATACAGTAATTGTTCCACCACGATTGGTGGTATTTGCGGAGTGTGGGTTCGCGCCAAGCTAAGCAGATTGCCTAATGCGGCGTAGAGCTATCGATGATGTGAGAATGACAAGCAAAATGGCAAGCGAAATGACGAGCAAAATGCTAGCCCTTGAGGCCTCGACCCTACCTCGATATCTTTTCCATGAAAATTTGTGAAAATATCAAGTTTACTGTTCACTTCAGATCAAGATAATGATTCCTTCTTTCTTGATTTTACATGGTTTTACATGGTTTACTTGGAAGGGAGTATGGGGTCGATGATTTCCGAAGCAACATAAAAGCCGTAGCATCCCTACCTGTTATCAGTACCAGCAGACATCCTTAGATCCTGTATTGACAATTATTTCGACTTAATCATGGCCGCTCACCCCCTTCAAGCCCTAGGCGAGGCAGTTGGCTCCGTGGGGATCGACCCCAGGGCTAACCAGCTTTCATCACTGTTCCAAGGAGCTAATGATGGCCCCGCAAGAACAGCCGCGAAAATTACTGGTGTGCAAGGCTACGGTAAAAGAGAGGATGATAGCACCTACTTCACAAGTAACGAGGGCATTCCCTTCCCGGATCCAGCTCACAGCAAGACTGTCGGAGGCATACCTGTGGCTTCTGATATCCATCTATTCCAGAAACAGCAGCACTTCAACCGATCGAAGAATCTGGAGAGAATGGTTCATCCTTGTAAGTTCGTCTTTGGTACTGCCATACCGCAATGTTTCTGACCTTCCCAAGGCGGTAGTGGAGCCTTCGGATATTTCGAGACAACTAAAGATATCACGGCGCATTGCAAGGTTGGTTTACACAAGAACCATTCCCCACAACCTTGACTAAAGTAAAAAAGGCCGACTTCTTGAAAAGCGTCGGCCTCAGAACCCCAGTGTTCACTCGATTTTCAACTGTCACTCTGGGTCGCGAGTTTCCAGATCTGGCTCGAAACCCTCGTGGCTTCGCCATCAAATTTTACACTGGAGAAGGCAACTATGATATTGTCGGTTTGAATTTTGTACTTCTCTCCATACTTCCTATTATTTACTGCTACTGACTATCTCAAGCCTGTCTTCTTTTGCCGTGATCCCATCCAGGGCCCGGATGTCATCCGCTCCCAGTATCGGAACCCACAGAATTTTTTACTCGACCATAACTCGCTGTTTGATCTCCTCGCTAACACACCGGAAGGGTAAGAATAGGCTCAGAAGAGAAAAGCGAGTTAAGCGAAGTGTCTAACATTGGACATAGTAACCATGCCGGGATGATGTTTTTTAGTGATCACGGTACACCGCAGGGATGGAGACATAACCACGGATACGGATGCCATACCTTCAAATGGTGCGGTTATTGATATGGATATTATCACATATACAGAACGGCTAACCCACATCCTCACAGGGTTAACAAGGACGGCGAGTTCGTCTATATCAAGTATCATTTCCTCGCCAATCAGGGTCAAAAACAATTTACTGCCGACGAAGCAATGAGACTTAGCGGAGAAGACCCCGATTACTCAAAGCGTGACCTTTGGCGTGCCATTGAAAATGGCGAAGAGATTACCTGGACTGCGCATGTTCAAATCATGGAGCCGGACGAGGCTGACCCAGATATCCTTGGATTTGATCCATTTGATGTCACCAAAGTTTGGCCCAAGAGCCAGTTCCCGGTAAGTGTTCTTATCTACCAATGTACACACTTCGCTTAACATGATGATCATTAAGTTGCACGAATTCGGCAAGCTGGTTTTGAACCGCAACCCGGAGAACTTCCATAGAGATGTGGAGCAGGCTGCATTTTCTCCAGGCAGCATGGTCCCGGGGATTGAAGACAGCCCAGATCCTCTTCTTCAATTTCGCACTTTCTTCTATCGCGATGCTCAACTACATCGAATCGGAGTCAACTGGCATCAGATTCCAGGTTAGTTTTCATATCCTTTGCAAAGACGTATTTCTGATGTTTCCTCGAGTCAACTGTCCATTCATGGCATCTTCTTACGCTTCATTGAACTTCGACGGTCAAATGAGAGTTGACGCGAACCACGCCGGAAATGCGCAGTATGCACCAAACAGCTTCGTGAATAAGTTCCGCCCTGATACTGCCGAAGCTCCATACCAGCTTGCTGATAGCACTGTGAGTCGTAAGTCGCATTTCTGGCATGAGGGCAGCCCCTCTGAGTACGAGCAATCCCGATCGCTCTATGAAAAGGTTATGAATAGCGAAGCCCGGGAGCATCTCCATGTGAACACTGCCTCCGCGCTTAAGAAGGTGGAGTACTCCGTGATCCAAGTGAAATATTTGGCGCAGCTGTTCAGAGTTTCCCACCAATATGCTAAGGCTGTGTATGATCTGTTGCCGGAGAAATCGTTCAGCTTCGAAGAAGTGGAGGAAAGTTCCCAAGGAGCCGAGAAGATAGGCAAAGAGGAGAAGTTCTGCTCAAGTGCGAAAACAGACAAGTTGGTAGGAAAATGTCCCAGAGCAAAGGTTTATAACACCTAGTGCAGCTGGCGCTTATTCAGCTATACCGTCTCTACCCTCATCCCTACACCGCTAGCTCCTCTTTACACTGCTATTGCGGCCCCCATAAGCCACCGAAGAGCAGTATAAATAGGATCAGAGATTTGGAGGAAGAGGGGGCAGACAACACTTCATGGACTCACTACACATAGTGAAATACACCTCTTCTTGACCTCCATTCGTCCTTGGTAAATACCAGTAGCCTCACACTTCGAGTCAACATGTATGCTTATTCAGTATATGATTAAATATGAATTATTCGTATATTCATGTATATTGCGAATATGAATTACAGCACAGCCAACCACTCCCATGCCCAGTACAGGCGTAGAGAGCAGACTCTGTAGGTAACTATCGCACTAGTATTGAAGCTATATCATGGAAGAAGAACCTGGTGAAAAATTGTGTCATATTGATGATGGTAGGATGATGCTATCTTAAGAAAAGACTGCATGCAAGCTTCTTAAGGCATTTGCGATACCTCAGGCCATTAATACGTGTCGCAATTACCTTACGAATACTGCATGAAACCGGGTCTATAGATGATCCGACGGCATAGCTTAGTAACTAGAATGGACCCATAAATAGTGGAAAATAGGGGTAATGAAATACAGAGTCATTTACATCTCCAATTGGCCGGATACAGTACAGATCGTGACAATACGCTACTGTCACGGGTTCCACCACTACAATAGCTATTTATGCTAAGTTATACAATAATGACCAACTCGAGTACTGGAGCATCCATTATTCCGGTCTCAGGCAGTATTCGTAAGGTATGCCTGACAACATGGAACTGCCATACACACGCTAACTGTGCCTGTCTCAATGGGCGTTTCCCTTTCCAAGATCATCGACCAGCCCTATCGCGGCCCCGACCATATTAGAAATTCCTGCAACAGACGGTGATTGCGCCCAGACATCTCTACCAGTAACGCATGTCGATTTCGTAGACTGTCTTTGATCTTACTAAATAGTCGTCCTTGACTCGTCAGTATCTTGGCAAGCTAAATTTCTATACTTATCGACCTAACTGAAGTCTCAAATAGATTCCGGCCAGGCGGTGCCAATGACATATCTTGGCATGGTGACTGACGGTCAGCCTTGGTCTTGTCTCCAAGGCCACAAGGTATCATTTTCCCTTCACTATGGGACAAAAAAAAGTGGGCCCGACCTAGGTAAAAGCACTTTTATTATATCGAAAGTAATAATCTATTATCGTAGACTTTCAATTCTATAAAGGGCTTCCCTAGCCTCCGGTCGCTTATACTACGCCTTATTAGCAATCTCTCCAGAAAGACTTTCATTTAGTTATCAAATAACCACGACAGCAGAACATAAAGATCGACGATAAAGGTATATCTAAAGTACTGTACCACGACGTGATATACCAAGCTTATTATAGTCTAGACTATATTAACCTTCACGAGTTTTAGTCTAACTTATCCGATATCCTAATAACGCCACCCCTCCTAGCCACTAATTGCGATACTATTTTGCTAGATTTAACTATCGGAGGCTAACGTATTAACTCTAGTGGCTCGATACCATCTTTAATAGAGTGTATTCTTTTTCCTAATCCCGAGAATCTTTAAGCGGGCTTCAACTAGCCTAGCCTAGATCTTCTTTCCCCTACGACTCAATATAAAGGCGTAATGCTCTATATATCAGCATTTATTCCGGCTAGGCTATTATATTAGGTGGAGATACGCCTCACAGAACTAGATCAGATCACGGGCTAGACAATTAAGGAGCATCTATTCTATCTGTCTTCGACCACGTATAACAGAGAGGATCTCTACTACGTGCGCAGACAAATTCTGGATATCATCTCAGGGCCTAGGGATAACTAGCGGAGACTCTTCCGACTATCTTTACGACCGCGCAGGGAGCTACCTACATATTTCCCAGATCCGGCATGTCCTTTACACAGAACACAACCCTCGGCAACATGCCTAAATCCAGATATATTTGTACAAAACTTGATAGATATTTACAGGTGGCCCCTCTGGTAAACCAATAAAACGGCTCATTGTCACTGCTAAACATGTTTTTGGTCATTTTATGCCCGATCTAAAGCAAGGTGCTTCTCAGGGAAGACTGTTGCACACGGGGACTTGCTATACAGCTGTATGGTGGCGTAAATTCTAGCTAACGAAAACCCAACTCACATGGTGGGAAATGGCCGGAAGTAATAAGTTAGATCCCCATCTCCCGTTTCGCGTTCCCGAGCCAGATCTGGAGAAGATTGGAGATTATTCGTGGATCCTATTTGCCATTGAGCAACCCACATATATGGTAGAACTGAGGGAACAGACCAGATTTTCTTAGAATAGGCGAAGTACCTAGAAGGATGTGTGATGAATCCTGACCTCCTTTCGGCGTTCCTGGGGCCAACTGGCCTGTTATTCGCGACGATATACCCTGCTCCTCGAAACAGCATTAGATTCCTGGGACCACTGCCGACTTTAGCAACTGTTAAACGAGCCAAATAAGCTTGGCTCGGTGAGGTCCATACGCTTTCTAGAACGGCCCAAAGGCCTCATAGGGCATACACATCACCAGCAACTGCCCGTATTGCGCGTCGCGCTTAGTGAGAAGAATGAGAGTCCGTCTATTACTCTTTGTAAATATTGCGTAGGTCATACTGTGTGGATCCAACAAGTTTCCTTGCTGATGAGTTACTGTATGCCTAAAAATCATGAGCAATTTCCTTATACAAGAGAAAAAATCGTTTGTGCGACCACAGTTCTGCAGGCTGATTTCGGTTACCTGTAAATGCGTTGCCAAGGTACACACTGAGTTGATCTTTTGCAATGATGTTGACTCAATATTGAGCGGACACCAGGAAGCAGTGGGCGAACGCCTACTGCATCACCTGCAAAACATGAGTCACGCCGTCAACGTTGAGCATCAACTTCAAACTACTTGAGCGCGTGGAACGTTCGCTTATCAATCCTACATGCAAGTCTCAAGGCAGTGAGCCACTTGCTCCTCATCAAAAGACTGTTAGTGTAGGATACAAAGATGACCGTTGCTCAACATTTGTCATAGGTTTTGTGGGTTCAATATGGAAGCCAGAATATGAATACTGCCACTCTTCTCCAGTCCACTCTCTTCCCAAAGCCAACTCACTTTGATTCACCTACGGGATATTCAAGAATGACAACCAATCAGGACACCGAGGCAAGCGAGGAGGATAGCCTGATGGCCCTGGCGAACGAGCAGCTTGAACGTGAGCTGCTCCAGAGTCAGAAACCCACTCTCGCTACATACCGAGCGCCCCGACGCGTGGTGTCTCTCGGCATCTCCCCCAGCTACGTCAAAGACTGGATGCCAGCAGATGCTTTTCGGGAAACGTATCAAAATCGGTACGTGCCGGCCTCTTCCGCTGGACAAACGCTAATCAACGCAGGAAGGACGCCATCATAGAAAGATTCAATCTTGACCGTCAGAGCTTCCAGCCATTCTTGGAAGACCACGGTGACAATCTCTCAATCGTTGTTTTCGACCAGAACCTTGCCGACCAGCCAGCGGAGCGTGAGAATCGACGCGCACTGGGTTTCATTCAGTACGAAAAAAAGACCGGTCGGATCACGATCGCAAATGCATGCATGCAACTACCCGTCAATGCTCTAGCTATGGGATTCTCAACCAAAGATGTCCACGGTGCCCACGACCTTCTTGTGGGACGTCACGGCGAGGGTCCCAAGCTGGCGGCCTTGGTTCTCTCTCGAGATAGCTACAACGTGAGTATCGCCGCGAGTGGTTGCAATTGGAGTTTTGACATGCACACAGACGCCGCTTCGGTTTCTTGTACTGTCGCACCATCTCAGAAAACCAAGCCAATCGAGTGGACCGATCCTGCCCTAGACATGGCAAGTCTACGTTACCATCTGGGGAGGGACGTGGCAGTGGTGATCGGCGCGACGCGGGCCAAGCCAGGCCTGTTGTAGTTCAAAAGGAAGCTTGTTTTCTTCTTATTTCTGAGGGGATACAAGAGGCTATATATAAAACATGGAAATCAACTTGGTCTTCGTATAGATGGACAGGAATTATTTCCGATGTTGCGGCTTCGTTTCTGAGCAGCAACTGCCTCATATCACAACACTAACGACAATGAAATCCATGTAAAAGAAACTTTAACTACCTCAGTATAATATGTATCTACCGAAATTAGGATAGATTAAAATTTTGTATAGCATTGCTCCTGTCGGAACATATCCTCCCGTCAGAATAAGCAAAGACATGTACGTAATCTTGCTAAGCTGCGGCTCCCGCCGTATGGATTCAGGGGCATTAGACGAGGACCTGGAACACACATCGATCTACATCAATCAATTTACTTCCTGCTTTTGGAGCATACATGCTGTCCACTTAACTGTGTACACAGTACCTAGCTGGTGATACCAACAGTTCCAAATTCACCTTCCATATATATAAATATCGAAAATTACGACGACAGCTCAAAGCCCCAAGTAATCGCCAATCTCCTTGTAATCAACCTGCCACAGACCTGGGCTTCCATTCGGGTACTGGCTGCGGAATCCGACCATCTTCTGTGCTCGCGGGCTCATGGACTTGACTAGATCCAGCTTGAGAAGGTGGGGATAAGCCTCTTCGGGTGTCAAATAGCCCGGTTGGAACGTGAAGGCGACTGCCCGGCGATAGGAATCTGTTGTTCTATTGGCACCTCCACCGTGTACAAGTTTTCCCGACACCAAAACCACATCCCCAGCTTTCATTTCAACTGGGATAGTCATTTCGGGGGTTCCGCGGTCATTATAATCCGGCCAATGGTTACTACCGGGAATAACTCTCGTGGCTCCATTCTCGTCGGTAAAATCGGTGAAGGCGATGAGAAAGTTCAAAGAGATTTCTGGGCCTGCCTCACCCATGGTAATGAAGGGGTAGTTATTCTCAAGGTCGCGATGAAGAGGCTGCGCGACATTTCCTGGGCCGATCTCAATCACTTGCGCGGTGTTCATCCAGTAGCTCTTGCATTCCTCGCTATACACACTTTCGCAAATAGCATGAACTTCGTCACTGTCCAGAATCTCAGTGCGGAAGGTTGGGCTGAGTGTTGGAAGATTTGTTAGGCGCTTTGTGTTGCTGCCGTGGAAGCTCGAAATAAACTTGTCGGAATGCGTGGAGCCTGCATTCAGATTCTCCATGGCAGGGGCAATCTCTGCGTTAAAGCGTGAGATTTGGTCAGGGGCGAGAAAGTTTTTGATAATAACACCGCCGTCTTCACGCATGATTTTGAGAATCTCCTCAGGAGAACTGCCCTTGGGCAGCTCTCGCAGCTTAGGCTTTTCAGTCGACATGACTCATTTGAAACAGAGCGTCGATAGATAGTGTGTTGAAGTGTGTGTTATACTCAAATTGCTTTTGTGAAGGACCCGTGATCTTTATAAATATCAAACCAGTACATGCAGAAGCAAGTGACAGCGAGCGCGATAATTTCTGATTAGTCTTCAACTGATCATATGTCGCAAATCATACGTTGAGCGATGTTGAGGATAGGCTATAGCTGATCAGTTTCAATACAGTGTGCGATAATGCACGATAATCGATAATGCGGGGTTGGAGAGGGATGGACCCAGTTATCTAGCGATAGGGCGAGAATCCCGATGCAGAGAACAGAGGTAAGTCGAAGTAGATGAAGACAGATAGAGGCGTATTCCCCGCAGACATGACACTGGAAGGCAACAGCGAGGTATAGGAGGATTAAGAATCATTGGAATTCGGAAGGTGTTGGCGAGCAATGGTGGAGAAAGTGAAAACCCGATGCTTATCTTTAGAAAATACGATTATGGGATACATTGAGCCTAGAGGAATGATCCACTTTGAGAATGCCAGAAACATCCCAGATCGCTGCTGCACGCGCTTTTGACATGCCGAGATCAACATTACGAGATCGAATCAAGGAGCCAAGATGCTACTTTGAACACCCCGTCATTCTTGATAGATTCTCTGCTTTGGGGAAAAATATATAGAAAAATGCCTTTTTAAATTAAATATCTGAAAAGGTACAGCGTTATTTAATTCCTCTAGGTTGTTTTCGAAATCTTAGATGTCGTGGGTGTTGGAAGTCATAGTCGAGTTTGTCGAGTTTTTGTATATGGTTAGACTTGGATTAAGAAGTCCTTTATACATCTGTAAAATGTTGTTTTCTTCGAAAGACTCATAGAGGAAATCAATTGACTTAGTTCTGCGATCCGGTTATATAGTCAAAATTCTCGGGCCAATATTATACACGAAGAATAAGCACAAAGGAATTGCTTAGTAAAAGATATGCAGGGTTGCAACTACAGCCTCGATTGTGAAGCCACAGCCTCCTCAATCAGCTTCACCGCTGCCAGTGAGCACCCATACGAATTCTGATATCCGGCTCCGCCTGCACCATAGTTGTGCACCACTGTCACGCCTCCGATGCGTTCCTTTTCGATTCTGGTTCCACCTTCTCGCACCGGCCGCAAACCAACGCCGCGACGAACAATATCCAGATGCTCAATCCCTTTTCCGTCTGTCAACTCAGGACAGAGCTTCACCGCCCTCTTCATAATCCGGATTGCAAGGGTGGGGTCAACATTGCCATCCCAGTTACCCTTCTGGTAGCAGCCGCCCAGAATTGTGCCGCCACCAGCCGCTCTTGTCATAACGTAACACGCTTCATCGTCTCCATCGTCGGTTCCCGATATACTTAGCATTCTTCCAGCGTCGTTGCGGACGACAACAATCTGTCCTCGAGCAGGCACAACAGCCTTGTCTTCGACACCACCGATTTTGCTCGCCATGAGTCCAGTACAGTTGACGACAACATGAACCTTGTCTAACGGATGGACACCAGGACTTGTGGCGTCTAGAATATGATTAAAAAGGCGCGCTTAAAAATGACTCCGCGCTTTAAACATTGCGAAACGAGCCAAGGGAGGTAGATGGCCGTATTTATGCAGACAGACATGAAGGAAACTCCGTGATCAATTTCAGGGCCAAGCTCACTCTTGGGAAGCGGGTGGAACTGAGACATCAATGATAAGTATACTTGAATAAACACCTTATATGGGCGCATTCACCTTGGGCACGACGTCTCGAACCACGGGTTGGGCGAGAGCAGTTTAGCAAACCAGGCCGCCGTGGCAGACTGGCTGTCTTTGGCCCGGTTGAGAATCCGACACTCTTGGAAATGGATACCGGCATCTGGGTGATTGCGGGCCAGCTCCTCCAGCGGACCCCAGGTGTTCTTATCCCATTCTGCTGAGTCGGTACCAGTGTAAGAAACACTAAAGCCGCAATTTATCAACCACTGTTTCACCAAAGCCTTGAAAGGTATCAGCTTACGGCATATAGTTTGCTCCAGCCCATGGGGAAGCATATTCAATGTCATAACCACCGGGCATATGCTTTGCAGTTACAACAATCTTGTATTTGGGGTCCTTGGAAAGAAGGAGGGCCGTTGTCAACCCAGCAACTCCAGCACTAACTCACAGTCAGCACAAACTCGGAAAAAGCAAGCCATCAACACGTACCCAACGATAACCACATTTTTTTGCGCCATTGCGAGTAACTTATTCTGTTACACACGACAATATGCTGTTGATCGCTCCTGAAGTGGCCAGGTGTTGGGGTTATAAGAGTAAGGGCTTTTCCGAGAAAGATGTTGCCTTGCGTTCTTATATCTAGCGCCGACACATTCTATAAAAAAACAACCTACGAATGGCAGAAACTTACGTACGGTGGGCCATAGATATCACCTTATCACCTCAGCCAAGTTAGATAATATGGGCTTACCTTACCGCCTTTGTTAATTCGGTATTGTATTGCACATGTGTTCCCCAAACCGAATCTCCACCACAAAGTGATGTCGGTTTTAGGAATTTGAGGTATTGACTGGTATTGGGTATCTGACCAATAGAACAGGGATAGTCTCAAGATATCGTCTGAAGATAGAATACATGGAATCCCCTGAGAATTTTGACCTACCTAGCTTACTCAGCTCTGTGAGCTCCACCGTGTATGTCATGTGCCTCGGTGCCCCGGCGATGGTGGTTGCTGAATATAACTACTACAAGCTAGTAATAGGTTTTGATATAGGTTTTGGTATGTCAGCGGATAAGAGGCGCAGATAGGAAGAAACGCGACTTGCTCGATGACATTGGCTGGCGAAAAGAGGGGTTAAAAACAAGAAAGTAATGTATGGTTTTAAACACTAAATATATACTTGGTTTGATTTTCTGCCACTTGATTATGTCATTTAGCCGAGGTGATAGTTAACGTAACTTACGATATAGGGGAGCTCGCTGTGACTTACTATAAGCCAGTGTTGATAATTCTCGGCCTTGTTATCGACGACAGATAAGATCTTCGATAATAAACAATTGCGGAGTTTCGCTGTCACTTGATTGTCTACCCACCTTTTGCTACTGAAACAGATACAGATAAGGAACAGGTACAGATAACACTAAAGATTCTCGCTATGGCTTTCCATGGGGCCAGTGACAACAGATCTCGAATCATTATGTGTAATAATTGTGCCTATTAATACCTTCGGATCTCCTGATTTAAGTCTTCATTCATCGCCCAATCAAGAGAATCAGCAGACTTGATATCCCGCCTTCAAGATGTCTACCATGGAAAAAGTCTTTACCGAATATGCCAAGCGCACCGCTGTCCTTGAAGCAAGCAGCAACCCCCTTGCTCAAGGAGTCGCCTGGATCGAAGGCGAGCTCACTCCTATCAATGAGGCTCGCATTCCTTTGTTGGACCAGGGTTTCCTCCACAGTGATTTGACTTACGATGTACCAGCTGTTTGGGATGGACGTTTTTTCCGTCTCGATGATCACGTCGACCGACTAGAGCGAAGCTGCAAGAAGCTGCAGCTTCAATTCCCCATCCCCAAGGAGGAGATCAAGACTATCTTGATCGACATGGTTGCCCAGAGTGGTATCCGCGACGCTTACGTTGAGCTTATTGTCACCCGTGGCCTTAAGAGCGTTCGCAGCGGCAAGCTAGAAGAACTTAAGAACAACTTGTATTTGTTCGTTATACCCTACGCCTGGATTTCTGAACCCGAGGAGCAACGTACTGGCGGCAGCGCCGTCATTTCACGAACTGTCCGACGATGCCCCCCTGGCTCCATGGACCCCACCGTCAAGAATTTTCAATGGGGTGATCTCGTGCGAGGCTTGATCGAGGCCAATGATCGTGGTGCCATGCACCCTTTCCTGACTGATGGAGATGCCAACATTACCGAAGGATCTGGTTACAACATCGTCCTTATCAAAGATGGCGTTCTCTACACTCCTGACCGTGGTGTTCTCGAAGGAATTTCCCGCAAGAGTGTCATCGACGCTGCTGCAGCCCTAGGCTACGAGGTGCGTTTGGAGGTTGTGCCCACAGCACTAGCATACACTGCTGATGAGATCCTCATCTGCTCAACTGCCGGGGGTGTCATGCCCATCACATCGCTTGATGGTGAGCATGTCAAGGACGGCAAGATTGGCCCTATTACGTCGGCTATCTGGGACAAATACTGGGCTATGCACTACGAATCAGCCTATAGCTTTGATATTAAGTACTAAGTGTAAAAGGCAATATATTATAAGACGCAAATAAAAAGAATCTTTTGCTTTTAAAATGCTACATCTAATAAATCAATTCTTGAGATGAATATATAAATATGTAGATTGAACGATACTATAAGAACTGTCCCCTTTCTACTTAATATTACTGTTGTCTGAAGGGTCTACGAATTAATCCAATAGTATAATCCTATTATTGCCAAGTCTAAAGACGCTGAGTTCACATTGATACACGTATACTGGGCCTTGTAAGAGCCATATCGAGGTGTTGGTAACTTAGTACTAGGATATGAGGATCTTCGATACTACAGTATAGTCAGTCTAGCAGCCAAATTCGGAATAAAACAAATCAGCGCAGGCTCTCTGGGTAATCTGGGTGAAGGATTTTCGGATGACAGAAAATTCTGCCTTTTGATTGGCCCGATTTGTTTGACTGCAGAGATTAGGTTTAACGTATTTCACTACCCAATGCCCATAATACCAAAATACAATACAAAACATAAGGAAAAGTGGGTCACTCAGTATAACCCCCGTCTAGTGGTAAGTTACCGCTCCATGTCTCGACAGATAAACATGGGATGGAGGAAGGGGTGCTTATTGGATACGATACACCGCTTTTACCAGCATATACCCAAGTCCAGTGATCGATGAAAAAAAAATCTTTGTTCTCACTCTGAGAAGGTTGTAAGTTCTTGCCTAATTTTCAAAACATACAATGCCTACCGATCTGATCCCATGGGTTGAACTTGGTGGCTTGTGATGCTTGAGAATGCCAGAAGACTGTGCTCACTTTTTGGGCTGCTGGCCCATTCACCAGATCCATATCCACCCGCACGGTCAGACCCCCTTATCATCCGCTATTGGACGAGGGGTCAGATGCTAAGCATGAGGTCTTTGATTGGTTGTTTTGATCAAGAAGATGAAATTGAAGCTATTCGAGTAATGGGATTAGGTACGAAGACTTGAGAAGCGCCGGGGAACTATCTGAAGGTGGTTTCATTTTGCTATCAATCCATTATAAGGTGGAAGACTAGCTGTATACTCAACAGATCTTCAATCAATCCAACAGATCTCTTTAGACCGCGATGAGTTCCTTCGGCTCCTCGATGCCTGTCCACATGTCGGTATTGGTAGGCATCTCCTTGTCCAGCAGCTTGCGAGGGTCTGCTGAATCCACCCATCCCAAGAATGGCTCGCTAAGGCTGTATCCAGCGACTTTCTGAATCTCAACTGGATATTTTTTCATGACATCCAAATCCACGGCGAGATAGATGTTCTCTTCTTGCCGCAAGTAGCCCTTGGTCATAAAGGTTGAGAAAATGAGTCGCTTCTCATCGGCCGTGGTGTTGGCAGATCCACCATGGAAACACGAGGCCATCATCAGGAATGCATCACCACGTTTCATCTCTGCAAAGTCACACAAGTCCTCATTTGGCGGGGCGTCGTGGTCCCATAGGTGACTTCCTGGAATGAATCGAGTGGCGCTATTGGCTTTGGTAGCTTTCTTGCCGGCCACAAAGAATCCAATGCTACTATCGCGTAGCAAACCTTCGCGGCCCTCGGAGTACACATCCACAGCCTTAGGAACACGCTGATGGATCGAGTCGTCACGGTGTAGAGGTTGCGCTGTGGCACCGGGCCCGATGCTGAAGACAATGGTTTTGGAGAGTTGCGGACGAGAGACGGCCCATTGCTTCTAGTCACCAGCCCAGAACCAGTGCTTTTCTGTTAGCATCTAGTTTTACTCACCCTAGAATAGCGGGTGCATGACGATTTCACGCGCATAGGTCGGCGACTTCTAGAGCGCAGCTGTGGTGCGGCGGGTTTGGGCTGGGAAGAGAGAACCACTCCATGCTGTGTCGTTCTCTAGACCCGGTCGAACTTCGATCCTAACTCGGCATGAGTGTATATTCAGGATGATAGAAGACAGGGAATATATACTCAACCTAATCCAGTGTTTCCTTTGACACTGCGCTGCGAATAATCACACCTCCAGCGACCTTGAGGGCAGCGACAATCTCATTGACCGAGGCTGTGGCTTCCACCACTGGAACAGATTGGGATGGTGTTGGTAGCCATCACTAAAAGATGCAAGGTGCTCTATTAGGGTTCTGGTCAATGAGTGACAAGGTTTGGAACGTAGTTTATTGAAGTAATCCTTAGCTTATTACACGACTATGATGGCTCTTTATATACATGACCTTTCAGCCGCCATGAACAAACCATTCGACCTGGGTATGGCCTGATACCGCGAGGAACGTAAAAGATAGAATCAAACCCCTTCTTGATATGATATCACCAGTGCTGGAAGCCGATAGCGAGAGAGTTCATGAGGTCGTTGCAACTTGATGCAATTCCAACTGATACAAAAAGACAGTATCTAATCTATCATGCGGCCAATTGCCTATCTGTGCACCGTGTGTTCGGTCTGATAAGTACGATAACGAGGAACTCGATGTTACAAGCACATATGAGGCAAGCAACAGCGAGCCTTCCGATCCAGAACAATGACTTGGAATAACCAAAAAAAGTTTATGAGTCTTTCAGTACTATATATTCGCTCTAGCTTGCTGTTTCAATTATTCCGGCATTTGTTCTTTCTACTCTCTAGCCTTTTCCTCCGTTAGTTTGCGCACATAATCTACATCTCGAGATCGGCCGATTTTCACCAAGACTACCTTCGAAGATGGCATCCACTCATAAGTCTCTCCAAGGCCGGGTTGCAATTGTCACTGGTGGCTCCCGTGGCATCGGAGCCGGCATTGCACTTGAGCTGGCAAAGCGAGGTGCCAACGTGCTCATCACCTACAACAAAGCCGGCGATCAGGCGGCCGAGGTAATCAACCACCTTAAGTCGTTGGGTGTTGCTGCAGAAGGTGTGCAAGCTGGCGGCGGTGACCGAGATTCACCGCGACGAATTGTGGCCAAGTGCGTGGAGACCTGGGGTCACATTGATATCATCATCAACAATGCCGGTGCGGGCGATGACTGCCTTCTGGCCGACATGACCCACGAGCTCTGGGATAAGCTCCTCGACTGCAACCTTCGATTTCCTACATTCCTCGTCAAAGAAGCTCTGCCGTATCTTGGGGCCGCTCCCCGAATTGTCAATGTCTCCAGCGTGATCGCGCGCATGGGCGGCTCGTATTCCACCGCTTACTGTGCGACGAAGGCGGCGCTGGAGGGAGTAACCAAAGTATGGGCCCTTGAACTCGGTCAGAAATATGGTGCCACTATCAACTGCGTCAACCCGGGTCCTGTGAAGACCGACATGTGGTTACGAGACACCGATCAAGCCGTCCTTGACGAGTGGGATATTAAGATGAAGGAAACCCCGGCCGGGGCAAGGATAGCAGATGTTGATGACATCGCACAGATTGTGGCATTTTTGTCTGAAGAAGGCAGTCGCTGGTCGACTGGCAGTACGGTGAATGCCAACGGTGGGCTTTGTTTTGTCTAGCCGCGGCAATTTGCCTGTAATATAATACCCCAAAATACCATTTTATTGGTGACCTCACGCAGTCAAGGGGGATAAGGAGTCTATTGTTGGGCCGTGACAGGTCACATGTCTCTGCGGTCTTATACAGAAACGCATTAGACCGTAGCGTCAGATAGGGCCCATCCGCTCTCCTTTGCAGGGAGGCAATTTGTCTGTATTTTGAAATGTTTTCTATGGAATGCTTCCGGAAAGGCCCCTTTACATTGCAACAAATCGAGCATTAGACACGCTCAGGTTGGTTAGGTGCACATACCAACAGATGCCTCGCGTGATTGCCTCGCTGTCACTTTCCGTGCGTTGACGTTATCCAAGCTTTCACCTTCGCTTCCAAATCACTTACCACAACCCAGTATCCAATGAGCGGAGCCGTGTCGGTCCCGATCTCTTGTCGCCTATGGCAGGGGACAGCGAGTCTTCTACTCCCGTAGCGGCAATCGAATCTATCCGCCTCCGGACTACGACACTCGGCTCTTGAGATGCACTCCTCTGATATGCGACCAGAGAGAGCTCCAAAAATATATTAAGCTATCATGCTCGGGCTTTACTCCTCGTCTTTCAAGCCCTGATCAATCAATTTTCCAGCTTCACAACAAAGTTACTGATCTGCTTGAGGGGCCATTGGTAATTCTTACACCATGGTGCTCAACAAGAACACTGAATCTCTGTCTGCTAGAGTCCAGCAAATATTTGCGAAAGAGCAGAAGTACACTTCTGGGGGATTCATTCCTCTAGAAGTCTTCTTTGTATCAGGAAAGGGTTCGATCTTGATGGCTGGTAACATCCTTTGTTGGGTTGTGCGAACATGAAAATGTTCACCTGGCAGACATATTTCCAGAGCACTAACGCTAACAAATAATTAGGACGTTGATGGGCATGAGAAAATTGACTTTCTTTCCATGTTCAGTGCTGCCAATCTGGGTCAAGTCCATCCAAAAGTGACCAAGGCTATACAAGATGCCTATAGTAATTGTATGTTACTCCTACCTCCCCGTGTTACTTGCTTAAATATATAATATGTGTCACGGTAACTGATCATTAACAGCAACAATTCTAAGCTTGGCTGCACGCCGAGATGATGTGTAAGCGGTTCGGTTATGAGAAGATCACTGCAATGGTGACTGGGGCCGAAGCGGCCGACACAGCCTGCAAGGTCGCGCGAAAATGGGGAACGACGATCAAGAAAATTCGTCCAGATGAGATACTGGTTTAGGCGTGTCAGAAAATTATCACGGCCTGACCTCTGGCGTCTGGCCGTTAATGACTCCAAGCAAGGCCAGGGATGGTAAGTCTCTACGCTTCAGGGTAACCCTTACATCAAAGTAAAAGGGAAAAATGAACTAAAGCAAATCACATTTATGAAGCTTATGCCCTCAATGACAAATTTTTGACCAATATCAACCCTTCTAATGGCAAGGTCTTGCGCTACGGCCACACTGAAGATATGGAGGTATGTCTCAAGGAGCACAGCCACCGCGTTGCAGCCGTGATTATGGAGTGCATTCATGGTCATCTTGAGTGGGTCTATAGTTTGCCCCAATGACGAAAATTTGGCTAAATGTCAAATTGCATATGCAACATCTGTCCGCCAGATGTGCAAAAAATATAACGTCCTCTTTATTTCAGACGAGGTGAGGATGGGTGCAGCCAAGACCGGCAAGTTCCTTTCTTCTGACTGGCTTGGGCCAGAGAATAAACCCGATATCATCGCTCTGGGAAAGTCAATCAGTGGTGGCGCATATCCCGGCTCCTTTATACTTGGCAATGAGGATACTCTAGGACAAGTCGAGCCATATGAGAGCGCATCTACATTTGCACCCACTGCCGTCGGCTTGGCTGCAGTTCCCGCTGCCCTGAATATTTACGATGAGGAGAATCTCACAGAGAGGAGCGCTGAGATGCAGCGTATCTGGGAGCGGGAAGCTTCGACATGGAAATATCCATTTGTGAAATTCATCACCGCCCGAGGGTCCGATATGAACATTACAGTCGTTGATGACTATCCTGATAAACGTGTCAACCCTTCCAGACTTGCGGCGCTGATTCTGCACAAGGGAGTCTTCTTATATCCAATGGATAATCGCCTTCGGATGAGCGTGGCTATGACCATCACTGATGAACTTTTCTTGACGGAAATTTCTATCATCAAGGAGAGTCTGGACGAGATTCTAGAGTATGACGAAATCTCCGGTGCTCAAAGCGAGGGTTCAAAGACAGTTACGCCGTGGGCAACGCTGGACTAGCCACAGAATCACGAAGCACTTGATTCGTTTTGCTAAATTCAACTAGATTGCCATAAATATCATAAAGCGTCGAGTTTGGGATACACTGTGGGTTCAAAGAGACCAGCTTATTCATCGCCCGCCCATTTCCTCATAACTAACGTAATTCACAAGCGAGTCGGTCCCACAAGCGAGCCGACCACCCCAAAACATGTGTAACGAGTTTATCGCTATATGGCCTGTCGTTCTGCCACCGCCTTGCCTGCCACTTCTATTAGTTCCACTCCTTCTCGTCTCCAAGCTTTTTGTACACAGTTTGCGGCCTAGTCAGATTGAATCTAACACCCATTTTAGCCCTTCACATAATGGGGGTAGTTTTATGGGCATTGCCTTGCGTGATGACCACACCGAGCTTACTGAAGGGTTCCTTGCCTCCTGCAACTGCCTCACGGGGGGTTAACTTCTCACCTCTGGTAGTAGCTCGTCATCTCTAACGCAGAATTTTGTCCCTCCCACCTTTCCTTTGTATATTTCAGTCATCCAGACCGCAACGCAGCCATTTAGTGATAACTGTCAATTTACATACGGAGCATATACCATCGTTCCTTACAAATCAACATGACATTTACAGCCCCGTTATATCAACATAACCCATTTCTACCCTGACACAGCTGAAAACCTAGCTTCTGTCCGCGGTGCGGGGTTGAGCTCCTTGTAGGACAAATATAACTTGTTCACAAGCTCGGCCGCTATTTTCTTGTCGACCTTTGGGTTACCGTCAGGACTTTCCTGTTCGTATCGACTAATGCCAAAAGTTTGCTAGATTTATAACCTAACGATATGGTGGTCAAAACCATCAACGAAGATATAGGATACGGGTCTCACTCAGATCTTGGGCGAGCTCTCGAAAACGCGCGAACCGGCAGATAGGCAACTGTCAAGCATGAGCTACGTCATAGGAGGGCATTTCATCGGGGCTACTGGAATATCTTCGAAAATCGATTGCCTTTCGGTAAATGGCGACCGACCCAAGGTACCGCCGACCCAAGGTACCGGCTGGCTGTTTGCTGCAACAGTTACAGAAAGAAAAGTGTATACTGATATAATGATTTCGGGGGCTCCTCAGCCGGAGAAGAGAAAAAGAGAGTACAGTGCTCAGCCTCTGGAGAAACACTGGGCCGAGTGTCATGCTGGGAACTTCTCGGAATAGAGAAGACCGAGTGGGCAATGTGATTTATGTAAATGTTGCGGGTTAGGTTATGAATGTGGCCCATATTAGTCGGTTACTTTCCCTTGCCCTTCAACCTCGCCGTATTTCTCTTTCCCTTCGGCCGCTGGTCTGATATCAAGCTCACGAACATAGCTGTCCTTAATTTATTGCATGTAATACTTACTTCAAACCTAGCCATCAAATCTGAAAAAGAACACGTCCCATATCTAATTTCGCGACAGTCATCGAACTCACATCTTACGCCATATTTCCCCTGGGATACCACCATACAGCAGTAGCTCCGTGAACGCCTCTGTACTAATCACATAACCCATCTCTAGCTGCGCGTCCGTCATCGGTATCGGCACGCTCATCCTCAACCTGCACTCCCGTGGATATAGTAACAGCTCTTTGTTCAGTATTCCGAGCCTAGGGGCCGTAATACCGCTATCAGGATCCTCATTAGTAATAATACTAGAGTCTGCGCCTCTGATCTCGATATTCTTAACCCACGCTTTCTGTACAAATCGTAAACGCCGCGGGCGTAAGAGACTTCTTTGTCTGTACTAAGGATTGGAATTATGAGCTGTTTTTCTGTCCAAAAGGGATTGTGAGTGATTACTTGCAGTGCTGCCTACTCTTTCTATTATACTCGCAGCAACGCTGGAGTGGTGTATTCCAAGCATGTCTCTATATCATCAATATGCCTATATCGCAGTGAAGGGCCTGTCGAAGCGTTTACACTACCCAGAATACCGTTGTTAACCTCATGGTCTGACGACTGAAATGTCAGCGGAGGTTTTCATATAGGGCTTGGGCAATTGACTGTATCTGTTCTCGTTGGGCTTGGATCCTGTAATTGTCTGCCATCCCGACTATCAGGGCCTTGTCAGATGGGATGTGCTTAACTTCATGCCTCTGCTTTCCAGCAATCTTTATCGCCAGATCAGCACCACTTCCAGATACTATAAGCGAGACTTGGTTGTAGGCTTGTAGTCAAATCTTTCACACAGCGTCTTGGCAAACCTAGGCCAACGGGAGTTATACGTCGGGATGTCGATGAGGTATCTTGGATTCCATCGCGAGTCAACGAGCTGAAGGTGTCGGAACAGCAGCATTGGTGGATACCCTGAGAAAGGAATTACTCTACATCCGCAGATTAGTCATTATTATGCCCACATAAATTGCCAGCAAGGGGCAGTATAGCAATTCAGACTTGTTGATATCCTATTGGTGCACCAGTATGAGCCACTAAGCAGTATTTCCGACTGAAGGAATACACGGATAATAGAAAATCCGGGCTGATCTCACGTGGTCTGCTGAACGATCGCCTCAACAATATTAGGGTGGGGTTAAACCTCCGACAGCGTACTGCGCCGCAATCCAAACAACTTTTGAGATGCTTCGGAAATGGAGATGACTTGCAGCCGAAGCTGTAGTTTTATGTTGGTCTTCATCTCCTTGCAGCGTATGCTGTGTCTGAGACAGATCTACATTCTGGCTCGCTGTGAGTTGCGTAGATACAATGAGACTTTGGAAGGTCATCCAGAGCTATGATTAGCTCGCTATGGCCTTCCTTCTGGCTTATCTCTGACCCACTAGAAATCGCGGGGGATTTTTTCAACCTTCAATCTCCTCAATCTAATTCTGAAGTATCGGCCTCCCGACCAGGTCACAACCCTCTTATCGCGATATCCTAGTCGCTTAGCTGGTCTACTTAGTCCTCTCTTCCGGTTAACTAACTTAAACAGCTGCTATGACTAACGTAGTCCCCGGTCAGGTCGGCCATCTCATCACTCCCTCCATTTTGGAAATGTATTTTCACAACCAAAACGCTGTTACATTTGGAAATTTATCGGCCCTACGCCATATCTGATTACAACCACTACATTTAGCCCAGCCTTTTGTGTAAGTTGCATAAGTTGTTTAGCCGCGGCTGGCTGCGTAGGCTCAACATCCTCCGCTGGCTGAGTAGGCCGCTCAACCAACGCCTCTCCGTCTGCGACCGATATATCACCGCTGTAGGCTATGTGTCGTGTCGACCGCTTAGCCTGTTGCCGTTCTTTCTCGTTTCCAGCGCGTAGATCTGCGTTTTCCTTGGCTAAATACAATGCGGTATTGCGGTATATAGCTATATGGAAGCCATTGATTATATGGTCAAACGTCGCTTTGGAAGAGCTCGGTCCACTCGGAGGGATAGGGTTACCTATCTCCAAGGATCTACGCCCAAAGTGAGACTGAAAGGTGATCATGAAAAATGGGTCGAATCCACTACGTTAGTATTGATAGATTGACCAAGAGCATCGCAATACGCTACGCTTTAGTTATTCGGTGTCGAGGATAGGAACGCTGTAAGGTTTGAACTGGCATTGACTGTCGCTAAGGCGTGGCTTCTCTGTCAATTTCTGCACCTTCATGGCAGATGACAGCGAGCTATTCCGTATTTTAAGGAAACCGATAGTGAGCATCTGGTGCTGCGCCCTGTGCTAGCCCCCGAGACCAGAACGCTAACGGATTAGCTAAAGTCTAAAATAACTTGTTCCGGCGTGACTTCCGTGGCCAGTTAGGCCTCGATGGCTCATCCATCAGTCGGACTGGATATGTCTTCAAGTCTCGTAATGGGCATTGAGATGTCGGTGGCGCAAAACACACGAAGGCGTCACAGATCGTCAAAGTAAAAGTACATCTAAGCCCATCTCTGCCATAACGTTCCCCCAGCAAACAAAATCGTCCACGCCACACCCCTTAGCCAGGTCCCTTCTCCGCCAAACCTCTACGACGACTTTCGCTGCCGATGTCACATTTGCAACGCCGACTGACTGTCCTTTCATGAACCATTTACTAACAGTGATGCGTGACTCCTTTTCGTCAGCCTCGCACGCAATGATAAAAATAGGCCACAGGAGCCCGCAGTTTCTTGAGGTTGCCTCGTGAATTTCGATGGCTTCTAAGTGCTTGAGACTTTGGCGGACAAGGTCCTGAAGGTTCCGAGAGTGGACACGGAGAAGCGTATGCTTGAAATGAATGTAACATGCGTAGTAGAAGACGCGTGCATAATCCATTGCGATATGCTTCCCTGAAGCGGCAAATGCATTTGAATGGGACGGTGTTGTTGGTTTGTTAAGTCGAATTTTGACTTCCAAGCCCTCAAGCTCAACCATTGAGGGCCTGCGTGGACGGACAGAAAGGTGGGTGATGTGGATAATAGCCTCTAATATTGGAAGTGTGATTCCGAAATATCGATCCAAGCAATACTCCGATTCTAAAAGTAAGCTCGTGACACCAAAGACACAGTTGTGGGTGTATTCCTCATCACAAATGTTGACAAAATTTCCAGAACGAGCACTGGAAGCCATACTCGAAAGCGAGGAGCCCAGAGCTTCCGCACACAGGAAGAGTTGATAAAGTATCGATGTCCCCGGTCCATTCCATTTGGTCCGCTCAAACGAGCGGAGCCATTCGCGCCCCCCTTTCAGATGGCCACGCCATGTGGAGGAATTCCCGTTTATAACTTCGATAAATGACATAGTGCTGATGGTGGCCAAGATGGCTTCTCGTTGCGAGCCGCTATCCTCAGTCAGCGCCTTTCGTAGATATCCGAGACTCAGCTGATAGTGTTTTGTGGCCGTTATGGAGAGGGATCCGCGGCCGGTGCTGGACCTCTGGACTTGGTTAAAGGCTGAGATTGCATAGATAGCGTGTAGGAGAGCAGCATGTCCCGGAACGTCATGCCCTTGTACGGATGAATACAAGGCTATCGGAACCCAAAGAGTACGATAGGGGTTGTCAGGTGACTCTACGGAGACCATTAGGTTGCTCAGGTACGTTACCCAGTAATGCATCAACTGCCGCTCTTCGCTGGTCCCGGGGGGAATGATCGGGTGGAGAAAGTCGGCCATCTCAATCTGTATGATGTAGTCTTCGAGTGAAAAGTCTGACTCCAACGCAGGCAAGGGCGTCTCCACATTCTGTGCCGCATGAGGATCGAGCGGAGACCGATCATCAAAGTGCGAGATATGCAGTCGGGTATGGTCAGTCAGAAGGGCCTGCAGTGTTCCAGGTCGACTGTCGTAGAGCGCGAGAAGCATACCCGCGTCCTGGTAACTTTCAGAGCCCAATGCAACACGGCTCGACGAGCTATCAGTGCCCAGCAGGAGCCTGAGATCGTCAAATATCATTTCTTCAGGCATGTCATGAATATACCCTTCGATGCTGGGAGGGCTCGCATCCTGCTCGAATAGAAATGAGATACTGGCATTGTCGGCCTCCAGATTCTGAATCGGTGATGTGTCTTCCTGCACGCATACGCTCAATTGAATATCATCAGAAGCTTTCTTTGACGATGTGTCAGGCTCCGATATCGTAAACCACGATAGTCTGAAGACCGAAAAGGGACCACAGCATTCCTGGTCAGTGACGGAGGAATCCAAGGATTCCAAGAAAAGGTCGAGAGCTTGGTCACTCAGAGTTGGGGCCTCATACTGCACACGACTAAGCAGACGTCTTTGGACAGAGATCGCACCCGCTGCGCCGTCGCCAGGCCAAATCAGCTTCACTCCATATCCCGCGCAAGTGAAGAGGCCTTTTTCGCATCGCGAGCATATCGGCTTGCCTTCATCACACTTTACTCCGCGAGAGCGACAGGTCCAGCACCCGGTGAACGTCTTGGATCGCTTGACGGGCTTCCTGGATCGTAGGGTAGCACGCCGGGTCATGGTAGGGTCGGTGTGGAAACGCTAGGTAGTTGCAGGTTTTGAAATTGGCAACTGACACAGAGACCCTGCCGTTGGAAGGAGGGCTCGGCCGGGTCTTATCATGCGTTATCGGCTGGAGTATGGCCGACCGGCCGAGACTGCCGACACTAGACCCATAACGTGACCTCAATGACGAAGAACTGAGGGGTGTTTAAAGTTCTCAGTTCTAGATTACCCCAACTTCTCGCTGTGACTTTCCAATCATCGCTAGCGTCAACGGCGTGGTTCGCCCCCTCTAGGCACCAGTGGAGGTCTCAAGCCTCCCCAGAGAGCGGCCTGGTGCTCACATGTATCAGCCCCAACAGAAACCGGAAGTTGCGTCTCGTTAATACCCTAGTTTATAGATAGCGGAGAACCTGTGGCGATAAGCTTCGGTATGCCAACCTTAATTCGCAAGGCGTTCTGAATCCTTGGTGAAGCTGTAGCAGCTGACAGCCACACATATGAGAGACGCCGACCAAGCCTCTTTCTTATCCGGGGACCGAAATACCAATAATTGCGAGACGTCTTATAGCAGGCCCTAATGTAGGTATAAAGCCCTATCTACTTCGACCTAATTTACCTTGCCCTCCAGCAAGAGCTCTGATACCTCTCCGCTCAGCTCTACAACTCGCTATCATTCTGGTCAAATCTCAACTCATCTTCTTGTCGAAAACTATGGGAGAAAAGGACATGGAAATGAAGACCCCCGACACCATCTCCGAACAACATCCGGGCCACGATGTTGCTTCGGGTGAAGTGTGGTGCCTCCAGCTCGACAAGCCTTTCAGTCTCTGGAGCACATTGGGGATATCTTTCTCCGTCACGTCCACGCCCTTGGCCGTCGGCACCTACCTCTCCGTTGTTATCGGTGTAGGAGGCAGCCCTGTATTTTTCTATGGGTACATTCTTGCAGTATGTCTAGATATGTGCATCTGTGCCTCCCTGGCAGAAATGGCAGCGCAGTATCCGCACTCTTCAGGTAATTGCTCGCCTTCTCTTCCGGCTCTTGCACTTTTCGATTGGTCTCGGAAGCCACCATGTTTGACAGATCCTCCTAATTGACTCTGTTTCGCAGGGCAAATTTATTGGACCGCAAAGTTGGCTCCTCGTGGGCACGGGCGTGGCCTCAGTTACTTGGTCGGTTGGCTCACAGCGGCGGGCTACTTCTTCTGGACTTCTGCCGCACTCCTTATCTCATCGCAATTGATCTGGGCCCTCGTACAGATATGCCACCCCACCTTTATCACGTTGCCATGGCACTTTTACGTAGGGTACTTCGCTGTCGGCGTCTTTACCCTGTTCCCTAATATCCCCTTCTTCAAATGGTACCCTCAATTTCTCAAGGGGCTGGTGATCTATATCAATGCTGGTGCTCTTTTCGTCCTTATCGTCCTCCTGGTCCGTGCGAAACCCAAGCAAAGCTCCGATTATGTTTTCAAAGCGTTTGTCAATCAGACCGGTTGGTCGTCTAACGGCGTCGTCTTCTTCCTCGGTCTCCTTCCTGGACTCACGGCGGTCAACGGCTTTGACAGCGCGGCACACATGGCCGAAGAACTCCCAAGGCCAGAACGTCAGGTTCCGCAGGTCATGTTCATCAGTGCCCTGGCGAGCGCTGCTAGTGGACTACCGATGATTCTGGTATATATGTTCTGCATCACAAAACCAGACAATCTGCTCAATCCTGTCGGCGGCCAACCGGTAATCCAATTAATGGTCGACTCTCTCGAATCCTTCCCTTTGACTATAGTCGGTTCTTTAGTCTTCATCACATGCTTCCTCTGCGCTAGCGTCACAATGATGACGACCTTTAGCCGTATCTGGTGGTCTCTCGCCCGCGACGGCGGCGTCCCTTTCTCTCCCTTCATGGCCCGAATCAGCGGTCGCTGGAAGGTACCGGTTAATAGTGTCTGTTTTTCCGCTTTCGCCTGCATCCTCATCGGGCTGCTGAAGCTCGGCTCCGCGACGGCCCTTAACGCAATCCTAGGGACCGCAGTCCTCTGCATTTTCGCTTCGTACGGTATTCCTATTCTTTGCTCCCTGATCGGGAAACGCACTGGCTTCTCTACCGCTCATTATTTTAATCTGGGTCATATGTTCGGTACGGTTTTGAACGTTATCTCGGTGTTTTGGATCTGTTTCGTTTTTGTCTGGCTTTGCTTTCCGCCATACATACCGGTCACTACGGATACGATGAATTGGGCTATAGTGGTTTTTTCGGTGGTATGCGCTATCAGTGGCATGAATTGGCTGGCGTACTCGAGAATTGCTTTTGAAGAACCCAAGGCTATTTCACAGTGATTGGAATGGTCTCGGGAGGCCGACATGGTTTGCATTATTTTGACGGCCATGGTGGATGTTAAGCAGGAACAATGAGGGAATAGCGAAGTAGACTTGGTCTGGATACAGTCATTTGATTTGCGATTAAAGAAGTTCGCCGTCTCAAAATGTTGGTTTACTTGTCGAAAATACCAAAAGCCAGTTTAAAAGCACGAAGCTCGAGTATCTGTCCTTTATCGGAATGGGTTTTGTGGCCTTCATACTTGATCAAGGAAATTCCAGCCGCGGCGAGGATATCGGAGGTGGATGACATTGCGTAAATTGTACCATTTCTGTCAGAGGAAGCCAGTCACTGGTCAACAGGGAGTACAGTCAATGCCAATGGCCGGCTCTGCCCAGTCTAGCTGATATAGGAGTTTACTTCGATCCTGTCTATTACTGCAGGTGTGTTAACGGCTCTTGACGCATCTAGAGGTGAGCAAAAACTTAATCAAACTCCTTTGAATTATGAGCCGTAGCTCGCTGTCGACTGCTATACTTGAGGCCGGAGGGACCCACGCCCAACCCGGCAACGTCATAAAAGTTGGCAGCTTCCAAAACGAAAAAAAGGAACCCCGGAAACTGGTCGCCTGTTAACTAGGGCGGATAATACACGAAGCCTATAAAGGGGACGACTGCACACTGCTCCTCGCCACCTTATTTGTAGTCTCGGTTATTCACGTATAATCAAGAGACAAACGAAGCTTACAAAGATGCCGGTTCCCATTCACCCAGATTGGCTGCTGGTAAATTCTCCCCCTCCCTCCCCCCTTGTAGTTACACCTGACAGGACTTACAGAAATAAGTAGCTTGAACAAGGTCTTGGATCTCGTCCCGTTTTGCTCGGCAGCATTGAAGAAATAAGAGCAGCTTCCAACCACATCGCGGATACCTTGAATCCTACTTACCCTGTGCCAAATCCTAAGCCGAGGATTGGTAATGATTGAAGTGAGCTGAAACCTTTTTGGGGCTGATCTAATTTTGAAGTAGAGGAACGTGCTACCGATTCGGGACTTCGTGTTCGAGTGTTCACGCCAGAAGTAGCTACTCAGGACCCACTGCCAGTCGGTGTTTAGTAAGCACACTCCTGGAAATTGCACTTAGTTAACTAACTAGTTAGTTAGTTCACTAATCTAGCTGTGACTAACAATTCCATAGCTTCCACAGCGGAGGTTGGGCTTCTGGAAACATCGAAGCGGAAGAGGGTACGTTTGGAAGGTTATAACTCTGTTATCCACATTTTGACATTCGAAAAGCAACATGCATTCACGTTGCGGTTCAGGTCCCCTCCATTATAATCGCGGTAGCCTACCGTCTTGCTCCTGAATTCAAAGCCCCAGCTGCGCACAATGATGCTGTAGACGCACTCATTTGGGTAAGTGATCCCGGCTTATTAACGGAGATGCATTAACGGAGATGCTTATCATGTTATAGGCATGGAAGAATGTTTCTGGTCTGGGTGGAGACCGAACAAGACTATTTACAATAGGAGGTTCTGCAGGAGGAAACTTGGCTATTTCCGTCGTGTTGAAAACCCTCGATCAAGAGATAAATGTCACTGGCATCGTTGCAATCGTACCCGTCACCGTGCATCCAGACGGTGTGCCTTCAAAGCACAGATCTGCGTACAAATCCTACGCAGAATCCGTAGCGACACCAGTTATTAACAGGACTTCCATGGATATATTCTTTGGTACGTATAACGCTCTTTCCATAAGAGCTGCCCTTTTTGATATCCTTTTAGAAAATTATGGTGCAGCGCCAACAGATCCATCTATTTTTCTATTGTGCAATCCAAGAATCGGAGAACTACCGCCTACGTATCTTGTTTCATGTACGGCGGACCCTCTAAGAGACGATGCCAGGCTCTTCAAGCAGGAACTGGACAACCACAAGTAAGTGACTTTAAATAATTATCTTTGTCACACTTTACTCATTAGTACACATAGGGTGCCGAATAAGATAACCGAATATGAAGGGATGCCGCACTATTTCTGGATATTTCCCCAGCTGAAGCAGCGTGCGCAATTTTTGGAAGATTTGGTCAATGGTATTTGGTTTATACTTGGCCAATAGTTAGATCATGGCTAGTAGTCACAGCAAGCGTCAATCTCACTTAGATAATTCCTTTGAGTTATCGAAGTGGAATTCAATGATGATAGAGGCGTCGATAAGACAAAGAGGCTTTACTAAAGACATCATGGATAAAGTCACATGTTTGGGTTATTCGTAGGTCAGACTGCTATATGGCCACATAATCTCCACCTATTTAGATCCTCTAGAGAAGGAAAGGATTCGGGGTGGAATCGTGGAGCAAACAAGTAAAGTATAGGCACACGGTAGCACGTGATCCTAGCTGGGTACTGGCCCGTCACATCCTATCCCTCTTCAGATCTTAGCTTCCTACACATCTCTGAATAGATCGTTTTCAGCGTGTCCTTCGTTCCCTAGGTCCCTTCCAATAGGGTGAGTTCAGAGACTTGCCGACCTCTGATAGAGATAGGGCCGGGCGTCCCTTGATCTATGCATGTTGCGAGTGACATATTATATATTAGCTATTAGCAACAAGCAAACCGGAGTTAAATTTAAAGGCGTTTATATTGTTTAATATTTTACATAGGGCATGCTGCTGACTCTTATAGAAGGGAGTGACAAATTCTAGACAACAGAAACACCTGTTGCTAGGAATTGGCCTTGGTTCCAACATTTACGTGTAAAGTACGCATTTAAGGTCAGACATCAGAGATATGTTGTCATGATACCCTGCCATGAAGCTATTCGCAGGTCGATGCCTCAGGCTTAGAGGGGGAGCAAAGGCCCCGTCAAGGCGGTAACCCTTCGGCGGTCAGTCGGCACCCTCTCGATGGCGTAGCTGAAGGGTAGCCCCGCATGCAGACCACGTCAACTGGTTACACAAGCCTCTCAGCTCAGGCGCCCGATCGCTTCGTTGATCCTTATTGCATTTCTTGTTTTGTTAAAAGAAGACTGTATATAAATTGGTGTTATGAGGAGGAGGTTTCGAACTCCTCAAGAAACAGTCTTGTCACGAATCTGACTTGGTGTTTTTCATCCTTACCTGATCAACGGGCTTTCTACCCCGCAAGTAGATCTTTCTTAACATATGTGCTTGATACAGTAAACTCCCGTTTTCGGCACGGGCCTCCGTGCAGCAGAATTTCGGTGTTTCTAATGAAAGTGTGCCGCTAGTACTGCACTAAACCTAATCTAGTAAACACTAGTCTGTTTTTGGTCTAGAGTAGTCATGCCACTTCCCGTGTTTCCTCTCATCCAAAAGAGTGGTGGACCGAATATATATATATATTCATCCTGGTCTATTTACGTGACTAAGCAAGATGTGTAGGGGAATTTTGTGTGCCAGACAAAAGTGTGCCAGATGGATGGCGTTCTTATATATGAGAAAACCCAAAAAGGTGGGTCCATCCAACAGATATTGGTGCCGAATGAAAATGCGTGCCTAACCTGGGCGTGCCGAAAACAGGAGTTTACTGTAAAGCGTCAAGCCCATGATATATTTGAGAAGCGACTTCCTTCGGTCCAAAACTACAAAACAAATTTACATGAACAGCCTTGAGATTGGTATATGCTGCAAGGCCAGCCTCTCCCAGCTCTCTGCCCATACCAGACTGTTTTACACCTCCGAATGGGATACTAAGCGCACTTGTCAGTCAGTGGTCCTTGAAAAAAGAGGTTGACAGTTCGGGATAGTTGAGCTTACCGGAAGTCTGAATCGCCACTTGAATTGATCCATACCATTCCTGCCTGGATGGCTCTCGCAACGCGATGCGCCTTCTTAATGTCTCGTGTAAAGACCTGTCTATGCATTAATATTTATGAACAATAGGGGTTTTTTGGAGATCATACTGAGCTTGCGAGACCAAAAGGGGTGTCATTGGCTCTGCGTACCGCTTCCTCCGCCGTCTTGAATGGCGAGAATACCACAAAGGGCCCGAACACTTCTTCTTGGCAGATTTTCATCTCGTCTTTCACATTCGTGAAGATGGTCGGCTCAATGAAGAAGCCCTTACCATTAACATTTTTATAAGGCTTACCCCCATATGCTAGACATGCTCCTTCCGCGATCCCGCTGTTAATATAACTCACGATACGGTCGAATTGAGCTTGGGTCACCTGAGGACCTTGGAAGGTGGCGTCGTCGAATGGATTTCCTATTTTAGAGACATTCTTCACTCGTTCCTTAAAGGCAACAAGGAACTGATCGTAAATGCGTTCTTGGATTAAAATCCGACTGTTGGCAGTACAGACTTGGCCTTGGTTAAACATAATACCGGCGTGTGCCCAGGCAACAGCTGATTTCAAGTCCGCGTCATCGAAAACTAGAAGGGGGCTCTTGCCTCCCATCTCGAGGGTAATGTTCTTCAAGATGAGAGCTGCTGATCGCATGATCCGTCTACCAGTCGCTGTGGATCCTGTAAAAGCAACCTTGTCGACATCGACATGGGTAGCAATGGCGTCTCCCGTGGTTCTGCCGTGCCCGTTGAGAATATTAACGACTCCTGGAGGGAACCCTGCCTCTTTGATAAGAGTTGCCAAGTATAGAATGGACAGTGGAGTCTGCTCTGCAGGCTTTAGTACCGATGTGTTCCGCATGCAAGGGCAGGACCAAGTTTCCATGCGGCCATGGCCTGGCAAGTTGTCAGCTGTCATGGACTGTAATGAAGACGATACCACGGCTCAATGCCGACTCCATAGGCTCTCACCAGTGGGAAATTCCAACTGTTTGTCGTATAAGATTCAGCTAGACTTCAATATGGAGGGATTTAACATACGGGATAATTTGACCACAAACTCCGACGGGCTCCCGAATTGTATATACTTGAATCTTGTCGGCCCAACCGCCATAATATCGAAATGTGTTGGCGACCGCTGGAATATCGACATTTAGAGCATGGATGTACGGCTTTCCTGGACAAGAAAACATTGGTTTAGTACGAAATCGTTTCATTCCTTAGGGGAAAACAAACCATTGTCCCACGACTCAATAGTAGCTAAATGGTGAGCATTTTCCTCGACAAATGATGCTAGTTTTAGCAACAGATTTCCTCTATCAGTCGACGAGATACCAGCCCAGGACGGTTCATTAAAAGCCTTCCGTGCGGCTTTAACGGCAACGTCAACATCATCTGTTGAGGCGGCGTACACACTTGCAATTTCTGCTTCAGTCCTGAAGAGCTCAAATCTGTCAGTATAGTCTTGTTTATCAAGTCCGATAGAGACATACGCAGGATCTATAGTTGACAGCTTTACCCGTGAAGCTGACCTGACGAATTCGTTGTTGATAAACAATCCAATTGGCTGCATATAGTTGAGCCCATTAGGAGCAGTCAAATTGAGAGTCAAATTTGACATGGTGAAAGGTAAGAGAAGAAGGGCTGTCTTTGATTTTCAATGACAACACTATTTCATATGAGATAGTACAGTTACTTTTGCAAATGAACACGTCGAATTTATATTGGATTCTTGCTAATATCTCGCAAAACAGGATGAAGGTATCTAGCGCAGTGTTGCATAACGTACGATCATGTGTCGTTCTGTGTTTACGGAGGGGGAAGACCCATCGGTATGTATGATCTAAGACGTTAAGCAACAGTGAGCATTCCGTTAGCCCGGAGCAGTAAGTCACAGCGACAACCGAGGATATTTGAGCCATAGTACCCACCATCAGACCAGAATCATATCGCTTGTGGTACCGCCACTCATTTTAATGTACCTCCGCAATCCAATGCACCCAACCCCACACGCTAATGAGCCCAACATGACTATCACAAATACCAAACTCTAATTAGCTGAGTTGAACTCGTTGTCACTTGCCCTCACTGTGGCGCAATTAATCGCTTCCTAGAACCTTTTGTTGAGATCATTCAATTTCGGCCTCTAAGAACGGAGAAAAATTTGTGCTTACGCCCGCTGCTGTCGGTATTTATTGATAGTTCATCTGTGTAGGCTTTGCAAGAACTTACTCTTCAATTGTTCACATTGAATTGCCAAATTTTGATTTTCCTACTGGCCCGACGTCATAAAATTCACCGCCAGAGAAAACGACCAACACAGCAAATATGGCAGCAAGATATCAGCAGCCTGTCCAAAACGCAGACTACAGCAATCCCACTGTGCTCATCATCGGGGCTGGCATCTCCGGTAATGACCTATAAGTGGATTAATCTACGCATTGAATACGGGCTGATTTCACTCTTTATACAGGTATCTGCATGGCAATCGACTTAATTCGACGACATAATTGTCACAATTTCATCATTGTCGAGAAGAGCAGCTATGTCGGCGGGACATGGGGTGACAACAGATACCCCGGGAGTCGATGTGATGGTACCTCATGCCATTTCTATGTGCCGACATTAAATGACTTTGCTAACAATCATCTAGTGTGGAGCCATCTTTATTCGTACTCTTTTGAGGCGTCCGACTGGACTCGCGAATTTTCCAGCCAAAAAGAAATACACACCTACCTCGTGAGGACCGCTCAGAAATGGGGGTTATACGAGTACATCCGCTTTAACACGATTGTTGAGGAGGCGCGATGGAGTGACCGTCTCTCCAAGTGGGAGACTGCGGTCCGAGTTTCGAGTGGCTCAAAGGATGCCGAAACAACCGATTCATACACCATAACATCGGATTTTCTGGTGTCCGCTGTCGGCCAGCTGAACTCCCCTTATTATCCAGAAATCCCAGGCATCAACACTTTCGAAGGAAAGATCCTCCACTCCGCACGTTGGGACTGGAACCACAAGACCGAAAGGAAGAAGATTGCGGTCATCGGGAGCGGAGCGACCGCTGCTCAACTCATTCCAGAAGTTGCAAAGGATGCGAAGAACGTAACAGTATTCCAACGCACACCAAACTGGGTGATACCTCGGGAAGATGCCGATATCCCTCAATGGCGGCGGAATCTCTACCGTTACGTGCCTGGTGCCCGCCGAAGGTACCGTGCAGAACTCATGGACATCAGAGAATCGGCGCTCTTCGATGCAATTGTTACTAATGACGAGAATGGCAAAGATCTTCTGCGTAGCATGAGCCTT